GCGGCCGGGGGGGCGCGGGGCCGGGGATCGCGGGAGCTGCCGGGGCCGGGTGCGGTGCGCCGCGAGACTGCTCTGCCCCGCAGTTCAGTGGTGGCTGCGGCGAGCGACTGTGCAGCAGCCCCGGGGCGGCCCGGCCCGCGGCAGGGCTGAAGGACGCTTGGTCGGGACGGGGAGGAAAAGTCCTTCTCCGCTCAGCGGCAGGAACCCGAGTTGTTATCCGGCGTGCGCACCTCATTTCTCGTTAAGGAAATAGATCGGTGGGGTTGGATTGATTTTTGTGATTATTTGACTTGATTTCTGCGAATCAGAAAACTCAGAGAGGCCACACGCAGAAAGTTTTCTTTCCATATGGTGAATAACCCCACATCTCAGGTTGTGTCGGTGAAGGCAAGAGAAAAACCTGTTCCCCAGGTGTCCCTCTGCACCAACAGAGCAATAACCCTGGCTGATCGCTCCGACATTGGTGAGCAATGCAGAAAAGACGTAAAACAGCCACCAAAGACAGGAGCTGTTTGGTATAACCATGCTCAGCTGTCATGTAACAGTACCACACAGTGCTGCTGCTGCACGCAGCTGTGTGTCCAGCACCCTTCATTAGCTGTTACTGTGGCATTGTGCATCTGCAAGGGGGAATTCATGGTGTGCTGGGGGACAATGGAGCCAGCAGTGGCCTTTAAAAGAGGGAAATCAGGTATGTGCCGGTAGTCTTGGTGCTGTGGATGTGCATAGTGTATTCCTTATGTACTTGGTGAGACCACACTTTGAGTACTGCTCACAACAAGAGAGGCGTTGAGGCACTGGAGTGTGTTCAGAGAAGGGCAACAAAGCTGTGAGCGCAGGTCTTATGGGGAGCAGGTGAGGGAGCTGGGATGGTTTAGTCTGGAGAAGAGGAAGCTCGTGAGAGACCTTACTGCTTTCTGCAACTGCCTGAAAGGAGGTTGTGGCGAGTTTGGTGTCACTTCTCCCACGTAACAGCAATTGGATGAGAGGGAACGCTTCAAGTTGTGCCTGGAAGCATTCAGGTTGGATTTTAGGAAAAATATCCTTCTCAGAAAGAGTGGTGAGGCACTGGAACAGGTTGCTTGGGGATGTGATGGAGTCATGTCCCTGGAAGTGTTCAAGAACTGTGCAGATGTGGCACTGAGGACATGGGTAGGGGGCATGGTGGGGATGGGCTGATGCTTGGTTTTCATGATCTTAGTGGTCTTTTCCAATCTTAATGATTCTATATGCAGCACTTCAAATCAAAGTGGTTCCTGTGCTTTCATTCGGGAGAGTCTAAAAGGAGCATTTGGAGGCAGAGCATTATAGGCTAAAAAAACATGCGTAAAAGTGAACTATTTGTGGTTTTGATATCAACTGCTTCTTAATCCCACTTGTGTCCCATCCTCTTCATCTGAAAGTGAAATTCTTAAGTGAAGAGCATTATAACTATTAAATGGTTTGTTTTTAGTGATGACGTAGTAGAGGCTGCATAGTGCAGGCAAGGGAAGTGGTGTGATGTTGAGGAAATGAGAAATAGCCTGAGGTAAACAATTGTGTAACACCTTGACACAAAACGTGGCTCAAAGAGCAAAATGTAACTCGCCTTTCTGTCTATTATGTGAATGGCTACTGAAAGATTACAGTTATTACAAGTATGCATTTCCATTGCTCGCCTGTCACAAGTTACATTGCTGTAGTTTTTACTGACTACCGTTTCAGATGTCGAATATATCCCTGTTGTATCGCTGTACATTCTGCTGTTTGTAGTTAGTTTTAATCTCATGTAGCTATAAAATATCACTTTCTATCCAAGATACCTTAAAAATCCAGGGTGTGACAGTTTCCTGACAAATCTGTGAATGTGGGATGTTTTTCCTTGAGCCTTATTAGGCTGCCTTGGCTGGAGTGAAAAGGCTTCTTCCACTGATAAAGGGAAGCACAATTCTTTACTCCCTTGTACAAGTGCTTCCGGAGTGAGGCTTCTTTTTGAATCTTCCCTTAAGTGCTTTCCAAATGTCTCATTCTTTTTAGGCCTTTCAGATGTTGGTAGGAAGTCATCAACTTGCATTTATCTGTGTTCATAAATTTTGTATGATCTCTTTCCAAAAGGCAGATGTAAAACAGTGAGCGTGCAGGAGAGTCGTTTTATCTGCCTGTCTTGTCAGATGGTGATAGGCTGAAATGGGACACCACAGAGTGACAAGGAAATTCTGTGAGTGCAAGGAGGGGTGACGGAAAATTACAGCACTCTGTAGGAGCGTAATAAATTGTTGTTGGCTGTCATGATAACTGCAGTTAATATTTGGCTGAGCTTTCTTGTTTACTCTTAACAAAAAGTGTTGTGTGGCGATTGTGACTTAAAAACAGTGAGGTGTTTTCACAAAGTCTCTGGAAGTTCTCTGGCACAGCATTTGTATCACTTCAGCACTGATGGAAGTGTTGGGGTGTAAGCTGCTGGGTTCCAGTGTTGCTGGTTTTGTGAGTAAAGGCCTTGATGTTTAACTATGTTTTGGCCAAAATCACCTTAGTTTAAGGTCTGGCTTCATAGTAAATGGCTTCTGAAGGGAGTGAGAATTATTCTTATAAATCTGTAGAGAATTCATCAGAATGGACTTTGGTGCTGTGTCAATAGGCTGAAGGACTGCTAGCGATGTCACACAACCGGTTTTATCTCCAAATTGTTGCTAGGTAGGATGGTTCTGCTGGCCAGCTGCATGCTACACAACTGTGGACTCACAGACCAGTTTAGGGAGCAAAGTTCAGTTATAGTTATCCTACCTGATCACATAGGACTTTAATGCACAGATGCATGTCCACAAGTTTGTATTTTCAGACTTTTTAAGGGGTCAGAAATCAGTGGGTTTCTTTTAAAGAGACGAAATGCTTCTGTTATCCTACAGACTGGAGTACTCCTATTTCTCAAGGGCAATATACTTTGTGATTTACAATTCGTAATTGTTGCTAACATGGCAATGGAAGTACCAGACGCTGATAACTGCTGGTGCAACAGCTTGAGATGGATACGAGTTGAGTCTGAGGGGATCTAATTCCGCATACTCGGTTATGTGAGCAAATTCTGTGCATGCTAGATGATCTTTGAGGTCCCTTCCAACTCAAGCCATTCTACAATTCTTTGATACTTTTCAGTATGTAACTCATTTTCAAATCCTTACATGGATCATTTCAGTGAATGTTCTTTTTCTCAGATGAGCTATTTCATCTCCATTTGTTTGTTTTTCTTCTTACCCTGGTCTTTTGCCTGGTCTCTGGGCAGATCAGTACAGCAGCACTGACCTGTGAAGTACCTACACCCATTCTCTTAAGTGAGACTTCAGGAGTGGCAATGTGAAAAGCAAGGGGAGAAGACGTAGCATGTCTGGTGTAAATGTCTCCTTGTAAAGTGTCAGCACACCTGCTTTTCAGGTGTATGCAAACCCATTTTGACTGTTAGGTGTTGCACCATCCAGGGAAACTGGAATAAAGAATGAACCAGTGTCTGGAATGGGTTTCCTCGAAAGCTTGTGAGCACACCTGTGTTCTGGTGCAACACTAAGGGAAGGTGCTGATTGCTGGTAACTGTACAGCTGTGAGTGCTGGCTGAGGGAACCCTGGTGACTTTCCCTTCAGGAGGTGAAGCTGCTTTACATGCATTACACGTAATACAGCTCCAAATGTCTACAAAAACCTGGAAAATTGGAAGCTCATCAACAGAGCCAAGGATGTGCATAGCAAGTCAGAAGTGCATCACGCACCAGGCCGTGGCTGTTAAGTATATTGCCAGATATAAGCTAAGATATGCATGATAGTTCCCTATGTATATATGTCACTTCTCTCACTTCAATTGTTCCCAGCACATGGAGTTAATTTTCATTTACTGGGCAGTGCTCAGTAGGTGCTCTTCCAGGGAGCATGTGGTATCCACTTAGGCTGTCACATTCAATGTAGGCATATTGGCATTTTTAAAATGATTTTCACGTAGCAAGCACTTTCTTGTTGAGATTAGAGAGTTCTTGTTAAATCAAGAGAGTACCCCACATGTGATGTTCTTGGTAAACAAGGATCATCTGTAGAACTGAAGGTACCATTGAAAAATTGTCAGTCAGATAATATGTCTTACTTATTAGTACTAGCACAAGAGTAATGGCTTTTAAGTGCACAAAGACTGAGGTGTTAAGACTTTGGTTTAAGAAAAGTAGTGTAGTTATTTCTCTGCAAAAATTGTGCAGACAAGTCTTGATTTGGAGCGCCTCTATGAACTGGGATTTTTGAAAATCAACTTAAAATTGCATTTGTCTGCAGGGCCTCTAAACTGGACTGGGTTGTTGCTCTATGCAAGTGGTCACAAAAGTTACCCTGTGTTTGCTGATGCTATCCAGAGTCCTGTAAAGCCACTTTGTGCAGACTTTTAACATTTACAGTCCCTTGCTTGCACTCCTCATTACTGCTGTGTTCTTTCTTTGTTTCCACATCATCATTAAACAGATATTTTGATATTTCAAACTCCACCATTAATTGAAAAAATGCAATTTATTCTGTAATACCTACCTTTAAGAAAATTTAGATTGTTATTATATGTTTTTACTAGTTCATAGTGAATTGTTTGCCTTGCTTTCTCTTTGGACAATAGAAAATCTTAGTATAAAAAAACATGCAAAATTTGTCTGTTGTGGGATATGGGTGTATGTGCCCATTCATCTGTCTGATAATCTCAAGTAGTTATCTTTGCTCTATAAAGTAGCAATAGTTTGTATTCTTTTCTTAGTATTGCATGTTACCACAAAGATTGGTTTAATATTTTTTGTGGAGGAATGAACAGTGAAAGGGATTGTATGGGAACTGTTGAGTCACAGCCTGAACCACTGATTGAGCACGTGGGGAAAGGACCTGGTCAGCCCAGGGTGACCAGGGCACAGGTGAAGGCAGTTCAGCTGTGTGATGAGTGGAGCCTGGCTGCACCTCTCTTAGACCTCATTTAAGGGCTGACTGCAGCTGAGGAAGGATCTCTTTATGGAGATCCCTCCTTGGTGAAGCTTTCCCCTGCAAATCTGGAATCTTCTGATACGGTTGAGCAGTTTTCTTCCCTTCCTATGTAGTACCTTTCTATCATGCTGGTCCTTCTGTCATCACAACCTTTGTTGTAACACCTTTTCCATTGTTATTGATCTGTCCAACAGGTACAGGGGTGGTTTTTTTGTTTGTTTTTTTTTTTTTATAATTTAGGAATATGATTGACAGCTAATTCTGTGCTTTCTTTTGTTTCTGTAGGCTGGCACCGATGCGATTGTATACGCTGTCCAAACGACATTTTGTCCTGGTCTTTGTAGTATTCTTTGTCTGTTTTGGTTTGACAGTCTTCATAGGAATAGCAGGTAAGGATGTTGCCTTTTTAAAATATTACCTTTTTGTATTCTTTGTCTTAGTGTCCTGGTATTTACAGATGTGGGTGAAAGCTAATGAGCGTACTGCCCCTGAGACATCTGAGGAAATATAACTTCTTACAGGGGAGGAACATTTCTTCTCACTTTTTTTTTTTTTTTTTTTTTTTTTTTAATAGGGATACTACCATGTTAGACCATTTAACAGCTCCTCACATGATATCTTATTTCTGTATCAGCTGGCATGATCTGTGCTGCTCAATGACAACCATCTTGACCAGTCTTTGCACCTGCCTCTATCTCTACCCCATCCTTCACTTCCTTTTAGAAGGAAGTGGCCTGCAGGGGCGTTTGGCTCATCCAGTCCTGCCTCACTTGGGCTTTTTGTGTGTATCCATACCCTATAGAAAGCACTTTATTCATGGTAACATTGAAAATTTACCTATGGAACAAGTCCATTGTTCCTGCTGCTTGACTGTAGAGGCCTAAGGTTTAAACAGAATTTATTTCAGTTCTTGAAGATTAACCAGTGTTTTTCCTCTGACTTGCCTAAGGATGCTGAAGGGCATTATTTTGTGACTAAAATACTAAAAAAATACTTTTACATTTTATATGAATGATACAATGGAAAACTGAGATTAGGTCAGTTTTAAGAATTGCTTAAAATTGCTTTACCTGAGAATGGGCGAGCAGCCATCTGTGCTCTTTGAGAATTTCATTCTTAATTAAGAGTGAATCCTAAAATAGAGCTGTAGGTCTTTTGTGTTATATCTGCCTGCACGCAGATCTAGTGCTGTGGGTGCCTTTGTTCCAGGGCTGCTGTAAGCAGTGCTCCAACATCTGCACTGTGCCAGGCTTCCAGGTCTCGTCTGTGGTTCCCTTCAGGAGTTGGCAAAGCTGGAAAGTTGTTTTCCTTGTGAGACTGGTTTGTTGGATGGCTTTGTTGACGAAGCTTGGACGCAGTTCATTATTATAACTTAATTATTTTTAAAAGAAAGTTGTTTGCCTTGGGAGGAGAGCCACGGAATGAACACTTACACTGTGGTGATTTTTAATGGCTTTGGCTGACAGCTTCATGCTTCCTGTTAACAGAGGGAGGGGCACGAACAATAGAGCGTTCACTCATCAAAGGGTGTGGTATGAGCCAAACTCACCAAACCCACGAGGTAAATGAAAAGGTGGGAGATGCATCCAGCTTTATGTGCGACCTATATACCATTCCCCATACAGTGGTTCTTCTTTTGAGAAGGTTAGCAGTCTTAACTACTCATCTGAGTAAAGAATATAGCTTACTCTGAGGAGGCTGTTCCTTTTCAGTTCTTGTAACCTAAGAAGTGTGGATTTGTTTTTTTTGCAGGTTACACTTGCTCGCTTTCCCTTTGTGTGTCTTTGTGATCGTTGTGGTGAGATGAGTGCAAGGACAGGATAAGTGCAGAACTCATTTCCTGTACCTATGCAGTTTTCATGTTCCTCATCTCAGAGTGGTTCTCTGCTTCCGAATGTGATTCTGTTAACTTAGCAAGAATAAAGGAAAGCAATAACAATGCAATTTAAGTACAGTTGTTGTTATTCTATTCAATGATAAGACCGCAAGATGTTTCTGTCAGATGCTTTAAAAAGCTTTAGTATATTGCTTACTAGAGGCACAGCAGTAGAACCGAGTTATTGTTTTGGTTGCTGTTCAGTTTTGAAAAACTGGGATTGTGGTCACTTTTCTCCAGTATTTTTTCATATCTTCTGGTTTATTTTTAAAAAGAGCTCTTCAGAAAGTTTTGTTCTGATGTTTTTTCGTTAATACTTAACTACTGAAATGTGATGCCTAATCAACTCTGAGCAGTTACAGAAAAGCAATTATGCTTTTTGAGATAAAAATGCTGGCCAAAAATGTACCCAGGCAGTAGTTTGTATGTACTTGAGAACCGGGAAGTTCAGTAATTCTCAGCTGGCTTTGTAACAAATAGCTGCTTGTGAAATTGAATTGTAATATGAAGCTTAAGATCTGTAAAATGGTTAATATTATAGTTAGAGTGGTTATAGAAGCCCAAGCAATACTGCATGTTTATCTTAACTGTCGTGTCAGCTAACATTAGAGTCTTGCCCAGAATGAGCTCATGAATGAGCTCACTCATTTATAAACCCTTCTTTTCTGTTGCTTCTCTTGTCATAACTTTGAATTCCATGGTCTTTGTAGAAAAACTGTCTTTATTGCATAGTTTTTAATACTAATATGGCTGGAACAGCATGTTTAAAGGATTGGTAACTTGTGTTAAATTGCCATACCAAACAGGAGAGAAACTTGGACAAGGAAGGCTAACTGGGACTGGAACCAGAGACCCAGGCACACATAGATGCCCTGTTTATTCCCTAGATGCTGTGCATCTCAGTGTTTGTTCACACCCCAGTATATACTTGCAGACCTTTTCCTACTATTCTCCGTGATTTTTCAAGCTTAGTTATTGTGTGTGTGTACTCATGCCTGAGTATCATTTCCTTTTCTCCCTAATCCTATTCTTTCTCCCTAGTCCTCTGTGTTCTTGCATATTTAAGAAGATGAAGGAAAGACCTTGTTGCTGTCTACAACCTTATCAGAGAATAAAGAAAAGATGGGACTAGACTCTTCTCATAAGTGTATGGTGACAGGGAGAGAGGCAACAGATGCAAGCTGGAATGCAGGACATTGCAGTTAGATATTAAGAACTATTGCTGTTGTATTCTTTTTAATCATAAGAGTGGTTACAGATTGCCCAGGGGTGTTCTGGGAGTCTCTGTGCTTAGAGGTTTTCAGGACTTAGCTGTATGTGATCCTGATCTAATTCCATCTCTTTGGAGGGAAGGGTTGAGCCAGACAGCTGCTGGAGTTTTTTTTCTAAAATAAACAAAGGTTTTGTATTTTCCCCATTTACTGCATACAAATGTAGAGGGGAGCAGGATGTGAGTGGACAGATGTAGTTAATCAGTACACATTCAGTGTGTGTGTCTTTATCTGGAGAAATCGGAGGAGTGATTGCCATAGGAGCAGGAATGTGGGAGAGAGCTGGATATCTCCCACTACAAGTGGACTTGAAACTTTGATTGATTGGATTGTGTGTTTTAGGAGAACTTGTTTGTAGAACTTCTGTGCAATTACATTTATTGCGATGGTATACGTAATATTTTACAGCTCCCCATTTTTATAGAAAGGAAGGGTCCCAATCTGGCTGGTTTGAGCACTATTCCTAACCACACTTGTGGGTTGCCTTCCTTGAACAGCCCATACGGTCAAGATCCTGCATGAGCTACGAAGTACAGTCACTGATTATGCAATCAAATACTCTACATGTACATAAAAAGGCATTATAATTGCTCAGTCAGATGCAAAATAATGTATTTGTCCAGTTGTGAGTGCAATGCAATATAGTTGTTATCTCCAAGTAAATTGGGTAATGGTAGCAGTTTGGCCATAAAAACTGGAGAGATAAGTGCAGTTAAAAAAAGCTGTTTTTTCAGATGCTTTTGCAGCCCTTGATTGAGCTTCAAGGTGCTGTAACAGCAGTGCCTCTGCTGCTCACTTGGCTTTTTCTGGAGCCAACTACTTTCATGACTGTGACACACAGGGAGGGGAAACATAGAATGTACAGCACGTAGCGTTAGGGAAAATACACCATGTCTTTGTTGTTGTAATTTGGAGTATGCATGTAGAACTTCTGACGTGGAGCTCTTGATTAATAATTTACACCCTATTTATGCTCAGGAAGATTATGGCAGAATCTGTTGGGGGGGGGGGGGGGAAGTTTATTAATGATATTGAGAAGCCTAAGTGACCTACCCTTCAGTTAGAACATCTGCCCGAGGGGGTGCTAGTTACCTGCTTAGCGAGGAAGTATTTTGTACAGTGTTTTGAAATCCTGTGTTTACACTGATCCTTCAATATTGTTCTCTTCCTTCTTGTTTATTATGTAGGTCCTAATGTAATTGAAACTTCTGTAGCGAGAACTGACTTAAATAACAGCATAAAGGTAAGGGTCAATAAATAGTGCTGGATTATCCAAATATTTTTTTATTTGGTATCCATAATGTCAGATACACCTTTTCTCCAGTCCCGTTATTTTAAGTGGTTCATTTTCTACTAGGAAGCTTCTTGGCCACCTGATGCTTTCCAATTTGAAACAGAACATTCAGTGCTTTTACTACCACTGTGTGACCCGGCACCAATTTTTAGTCTTTTGCAAGTAGGTAAGGTAGAGAGTTTTGTGATGGGCAGTGTTTCTTCACAGTAATTCTTGATGAAGTAACGCTCGTGACAGGATTCCCTGGTGAGCTCATGCTTGGAGATTCTTGTGAGGGTCCAAGACGAGAACAGGAAACAGAAAAACAATGTTCTCAGTGACAAATAATGATAACTCTCCTGTGATTTTTTTTTATTTTTTTTTTTTTTTCCTTTTTTTTTTTCTCTCTCCCCCTTTTTCTCAGCTGGGGAGGAAAGTCTGTTTTCCTTCTTGATTGTCCGTTTTCAAGTGGCCATGACAGTGCAGTATGACCTCTTATTGTGAACCTTTACTGTCTTGAAGTATTCCATATTAAGCTTTCATGTTCTCATTTTCAGTTTCTCTATTTCTGTCCAGTTCTTTGCTGTCAAACAAATAACTAAAATAATTTTTATGAAGTTGTTAACAAAAAATAAAAAAATAAAAAAAAAAAAATTAAGTGTAGTTTTGTTAAATGCCCTGACACTTCTGAAGGCTTGGGGTTTTGTTTTTTTTTTTTTTTGTCAATAGGTCTCTTACACACATTTAAATTGGTACTGTACTATGGATGGACTTAAAAAATAAAAAATACTTTTCTTAATTGATATTAAAAATGCCTTTCCTGCATTAGATTTTCTCTGTTAATGTTACCCTTTAAGCTTTTGAATGTGGGATTTATAGAAAACCAGTAGAAAGATAGTTGTGATTTACATACTTAGATTTACACTGTTTTAATTCTGTAGCGTATGGGCTGGGGTCACAAGTCTGAGTGGACTGATAAAGTGCTATAAATTACTTCTTTTGGGGGGGGCCTAAGTCTCTCATATCGGAACTCTTTTTATTGCTGCTGCTTTTACGTGCTTCAAGTAGTCAGTGCATTTTAGTGCTGTGCAAAATCCATGTGCTGCTTTAGCTGCTTCATTGAAACACATATATATGGGGTGCTTGTACTGTCCATGCAATAGCACATATTAAATTTATTCCTGAAAAATATTGTTCCTAATGTACTTTTCATTGTTATGACTGCAAATGTATTGTGAAATATAATGACTGATGCTAACCTTGGTGGGGTTTTTGTTGTGTTTTTTTAACAGCTGAAGCCTTTTAATTTAAGTTCGCCGCCACTGTCTACTTATAACCAACAGTTGTGGCTGACCTGTGTAGTCGAGTTGGATCAGCATGATGGTGAGAGTCTTACCTAGTGTTTAGGAAACTGCTGTAGCAACCTAATTTTGTGTACTATGTTTTTGTTGTTGTTGTTGTGTAGCCAATTCTGTTTCTTTGTGGCTGTGCTTGGTGGGTTTTCCCTCTGTCTCTCCATCTCTGCCCCTTGCCCTCAGTAAAGGGATGGGTTGAGCTGATCTTGAGAATTGGATGCAGCAGGTGCATGGGATACGTTGGGAGTTATTTCTATAAAAACTGCAGCGTGTAGAGAGTCTGTGTCTGTCTGGGGAGAAATTAGATGTGTAAGTTGTAATATTACTAACTGTGCAGTCAAGTTTCCCTGTATATACAAGAGAAATACTGTGATCAGGAATTCGTAACATATTAGGATTCAGTACAAGGGCTGTATGACTTCATGACAGAATATGTAAATGAAGGGGTTTTCTTGCTTATTTGTTTTGAAATTAATATGATTGAACCTTATTCCTGTGAAGTACAACCAAGTACTTCTGGATATCTCTTTTTAAGATGTTACTTCTGCATCCAGCAATAGCTTAACATTTTCTCTCTCAATTACAGTATCACTCAAAAAGAACGTTACTATGACAGTCAAAGTGCTTGGAGTGGTGAAGGATGGAAGCACCCCCTACGTTAATAATCAGGTTCACAACCGGACACGGTTGCTCAATTGTGCACAGGTATGTGTCTGCTTGACGAAAACTCTGCTGCAGTACTTTTACATATATTTGTGTGCATGCTCCATTACATTGCTAGTTTGTTTTTTTCTGTGGCTTGTATTTACTACCTCAAAAAGACCCCTTTTTTTCTTTTTTGTTGGAGCTTTCTGCCAGCAAAGTGTGCTGATTAAACAGATAAACAGTACAGTGGGAAGGAACGTTTGAACAGTAAAACAGGTATTGAGCTCTAGAGGAGAGAGAAATTCTTATACAGCAACTAGAAGAGCATTTGATTGAAAGCAGCTAGCTTGTGTGCTTGAAGGGGAGGGGAAATCTTCCCACACAAGAAGTTCCTAGTGAAACCTTTAGTTAAAGTTCTGAGTTTAAGGATATCTGAAACAGTTTATCCAGAATGAAATCCTTGAGGAAGAAATAGCTGAAGTTCTTTTACGAGAAGTTTGCTTGTTGATAAGATGTGTAATAAGCATCATCCGTATCTACGTACTCAGAAACAAGTTATATTACCAGTGAGTTTTGTAGAATAAATTGAAAGTTTTTAAATATTACTCTTCCCTGTATGTGTTCACAGAAATGCAGTGAAATCATTGTTGCTCACCTGGGCTACCTGAACTACACTCAGTACAACATATTTGTTAGTTTTGAAGATCTAAATAAGTTAACGTATGCAATACAGAATATTACTTTCACAGTAAGTATAAAGTTTTATTCTAGCAAAAGAGGTCTCTGGAGCAGTCTGCTTTAGTTGTAATAAAAAGTTACTTTATTTTTGAACATGAAATATAAAGGTGCATTGTAATAAAGCTTTCTGTCTCTGCTGGTTTCAGAGTTGTATTTGTGTTATTAGTGGTCTGGAGCAATATTTATCTTCATAGGGAAAGCATTTTCTTTCAGAACTTCTATTGCTGTTTTCAGGGACGGATAATTTTAGTGTAATTCCTAGAAGGTATTTAATGGTAGACAAGCGAGACTAGAACATACAGTTTTCTGCATTTTCACATAGAGATCTTGCCTTTCTAATCTGCTACTTTTTTTTTAGCCTTTCCAGGAGGTGTGTGAATTAGCAGGATTTTTTTTAGACTCTACAAATGTGCTGGCCTGAAAGATTTGAGACACAAAGGCAAATGGGAAAAAATTGTTTGACTCTACTTATGAGGAAGAAAAAATTGTTGTGGTTTTTTTTTTTTTTTCCTGAGTGAAATAAGCAGGCAGTTCCTAGCAAAATGAGCTGGGCAAGTTTCAGTACTAAAGTTTGTTAATAAAACAGTCAAAAGTGTGTTGAATCACTCCAAAAAGAGGTTTAGAAACATTTGCATTAGGAGAAGATGGAGCTAAACTGAACTTATAATACTAGTTATGTTGTATTCTGCCTGTATGTAACATTATGTGTGTCAGAGCAGGCAGAAAAGGAAACTTTACTGTAAAGCAGAAGTGGTTTATATATATTAAATGAGCTTCCTGAATCTTCATATTTGATGTATTCTAATTTATAAAGTGCATTGTTAAAAATAAGTTGTAGGGGAAGAAAAAGAAAAAAAGTGTTTGCTTAGTTGTGGATTTCAAGCAGGGTGAGACATTGGTGCATTTATAGTTCTATGGTTTATCATCTTGCTTTGCAGACTTTCCTTCATGCAAACAACCAAAAACCCAATCCAGAGGCTCTGCTTTCCTGTAGCAAGTGAACATACCAGTGTATTTTGTTAATACAGTGCATTGTGGTGTTTTCAGTTAACATAACAGATTCTTTCATAGATGAGGATCCTCCACATAAAATTTTCATTCTAATTTTCATTCTACTTTTTCACTTAAACCTCTATCTTGTCTTTTTGTCTTTTTTTTTTTTTTTTTTTACAGGTAGGTTAAATCCATTGAAAGGTAAAGCTTCTTGTCAGATGGGCAGAGCATACGTGGTGCATACATTTCAGAACTAGCTTCTGAAGAGAAGCAGGCCAGATATGAGAATTTCTCAACAGTGTTCATGCAAATTGACATGTTATAATGAGTATTTCTGCCCATCTAATAATTAGAGCACTAAGGCAGCTTTTTTCCTTAATCTTAAAAATACTATTTTGTATCTGGTTAGCTCATTTATTCTTCTCTTGGGTCTCACTTCTGAAAAAAGAACAAGCTTTAAGAAAACAAGCTCGTTACAGAAAGCACAGCTGTACCTTATCAACATTTTCATAATCAGTTTATGTATTTGACCTTGGTAATAAACAGAAGTTAGTCAATTATTGAAGTTCAAATTTTGAACGTGAGAGAGATCAAAAAGGATTCTCTCCTTGCTGATTTCGAAGAAATACTTTGATGTGTGACAGCACAACGAGTGTGTTACAAAGTGGCAGGGTAAAGGAGAAGCAAAGATACTAGTCTGCTTTGGTTATCTTTTCATTGTGTAGTTCCTTTTTCTTCACCTGAAGCAAGCTTTAACGTGAAAGACAGTGTCTGTGAATGTATCTTTGTATTTCCATAGTGACACGGGGGAATTTGGTTATACCTTCACATTTTGAAAAGCTGGAAAACTTTTGAATATCTGCAAAGGATGTTAATTATTGATGTTGTGTGACCTCTCTAAAAACATTTTTCTTGTGTTTTCTTGTAGTGGAAGACGTACAATCCAACATTTTCACAAGTGGAAATCTGGTTCCGATTTGTCTTTGTAGTTCTCACCTTTATGGTCACGGTAAGAGTATTGCTTCAGTGTTTTGGGGTAATGCTGCATGGTAGTGCTTTATTTAGTAGAACTTAGCCCCAGGCTGTCAAGTTGAGAAATTGTTGAATGGGTGTTAATAAAGTTTCTAAAATACTCATTTACTTGCTGCTTTTATGTAGTTACAAGTGGCGTTGTGGAACATTAAGAATAAATGGGAGAAACTTGTCTTTTTTTTTTTTTTTTTTTACACTGATTTTTGAATTTAGGAGAGACGTTTTCTTCAAACAAAAAATTCTGATTAGATCCTAGAAAAATAAGATGGCTTGTTCAGTGGGCTCAGACATTAGAATAGGATGCTCAGACAGTCTTTGTTCTCTGTCTTTGAAAATGAGTAAAACTCAATTGAATATGACCTTGATCTAACTTTAGAGTCATCGCTGTCTTGAGTGGGAAGGTGGACCAGATGACTTGCACGTGTCCCTGACAACCTAAATTACTCTGTGATTTAGATTATCTATCACTTCACAGTTATGTCCCTGGAACATAAATGTCTGGGGGGAAAGTAAAACAGTAGAACAATAAAAAAGCAAAATTCTCAAAGTAAGATTTAAAAATACTTAGCTACTTTCATAGCATTTCTTTCCCATGTGTGAGGTCACTCACTGATGAACTGTGAATGTTGTATAGGATCTGGGTATGTATTTTTTTAATAAGTGACTTTAAGTGGAAGTTGTTTGTAGTGTGTGACCAGTAACTAGGCAGCCTTTTTTTTTTTTTTTTTTCTGGCTTCCTTTTCAGTTTGAGAGTAATTTGTGTTGAGGTTAGCTAACAAGGTTATTGCTAAAGGAAGAACAAGACTCCTGTTTCGCTGTGTTATCAGTGTCAAAGGCCTTGCAAAGTGGTGTTTGCAATGTGCTGTATGTCGCTATGTAGGCTATTTTTTCCTTCTAAATTTTTTTGTATGTTTTTAGTGTCTGTTTGCACATTCTCTGCGAAAATTCTCCATGAGAGACTGGGGTATTGAACAGAAATGGATGTCTATCCTCCTTCCTCTCCTCCTGCTTTACAACGGTACTGGTTTTTTTTTTATAAACTATCTTCTTCTTGTTTTTTTTTTTTTTTTTTTTTAAAGAAAGAAAAAGAGACAAAATGCTCAATTTTGGCCTTGAACTTACAAGCAGCTGTCTATAAGGCTTCAGAAAACTAATTTATAAAAAAAACAACAACCCTTCTAAAACGTCAAATTCAAAGTTATAATCAATAGGTAGGCTTTGTTCTTTTCCCTCAACTCCATTTAAAATTGACTGCAGTAGGAGGCTGCAACCATGCTGACCCTTTCACGTGTAAAAGTAGTTTCTGTATTTGTCTGATAAGCCTTGCTTCTGTATTTTTCATATGCTCATGCTGTATGAAAACAGAAGCTGTGTTGTAAAAATAGAAGTCTTGTAAATGACCTCAATTTCTAACACTTTCTAGCAGTATTGAAAGAATGTTTGTCTTTCAGGTATTCTGAGGTTCATCACCTAGGAAAGTGGTTTAGCGGAAGGTCTGTTAAAACACAAAGTCTTTCAGAAATGTTGGCAACTACATATTTGTGTAGTTTTACAGTCAATTGCAGCTGAAGGCGCCATTTTCTTTGCAAATTATTGTAAGCTAGAACAAACTCCAATTTCACAGAATCACAGAATCACCCGGGTTGGAAGGGACCTCAAGGATCATGTAGTTCCAACCCCCCTGCCTAGCAGGGCCACCAAACATACACATTCAATTTCAATACAATTCACAATACAATTCACATACAATTTCATTTAGTGATGTAATTTTAAAAAATCTTTTTCTTCTCAAGATGAATTCAACTTATTTTTAGTAAAAGACTGTTCTTTTTTCCCCCCTCCGCTTAACTTCTTTTGTTTTGTTACAGACCCATTTTTCCCCCTTTCTTTTCTGGTGAACAGTTGGTTTCCTGGAATGCTGGATGACCTATTCCAATCACTGTTTCTGTGTGCGCTGTTATTGTTCTGGCTTTGTGTCTACCATGGTATAAGAGTACAGGTAGGGGTGCAACCATATCTAGCATGCTTACTGAAAAGACAGTACTTGTTTATTCAGTTATCTCAAAAGGTGACAAATTAAAAACTTAGTTAAAAACTAAGTGGCATTTTAATCTTAAAGTACAATGTAAGAAACAGAATTAAAACATTTTGTGGTGAAGTAGAATGCATTGAGATTACCACACCTAAATAAGATAAATGGAGACGGTCTGCTCAAAGCTTTGGAATGATGGTACTGTTGTTCATGCTTAAAGGGTTTTGTTGTTGTTTGTGATGGCGGTTCATTTTTAAAACCACTTTATAATATTGCATAAAGGAAATGTGAGTTCTGGGGCAGATTCCTATCATTTCAGTATCAGTGAAATATGTGGGACCTGAAAAGCAGGATGCCCCAAATCTTCTGTATCTTAACTTTAATGCAAATGATACAATTTTGTATCTTTTTTTTTTTGTATTCTGCAATCAGCTGTAGAAGTTAAAAATACTGAAGGTGGTTTTTCTTAATCTAATTCAACAAATGAAACAAAGGAAAGGCTATTTTATTCTGCCACGATGGATTCAAATCTCAAATGTGGGTTCTCTCCTTGACCATGCTATTGTTTTATCAACAGGGAGAAAGGAAGTGCTTAACCTTCTATCTACCCAAATTCCTTATTGTTGGACTATTGTGGCTTGCCTCTGTTACGTTAGGAGTATGGCAAACGTGAGTAACTTAAGACGTAATGCACAAGTTATGAACTGAAATTGCTTTGGAGTGGGAAGTTTGTTTATAATTGTCTTCTTCCTCTTTGTGCCATAGAGATGGAGTTGAAATTACATTTTGTTTTGCAAAATGTGACTGATTTGAGAACAAAATTCTTCATGGACAATTTAGTAGTACATAATTTTATAAATTAGAGTAAGAACTAGAAGTCAATATGTCAGTATGTTAGGGCTCCCTCCAACGCGCTCTTCCTATTAGCTTTTTCAGTATTTGAAGCATCAGTTGCTCTGTTACCACAGTTTAACAAACCTCTTCAACCTGCCCAATTGGTATTAACAAATCTTAGCCAAGCCATGCTTCTCAAGACCGAGTTGATGAGTTCAGTGTTTTTCCTCTTTCTCACTGTTTCAGTCACTTACGTGAAGGTGTCAATATTCCACGCAGAAAACTTTGTCAGTTTTGACACGTTTTTAAATCTCTTAAGCATTTTACTCTCAATTGCTTGTCTGTCACTTTATTTCTCAGTATATATTTCTTGCCATTGCACATTTTTTAAAGTGGTGCAATTGCAGGGAATGTTGTTTTTAATGTTTTATCAGCATAATTTGTATGAAGTAAAGGTTTAAACAGCTGTTATTTGGGTATCATTCTTACCACCAAAGATGAGATTGGAACAGTAAATCATGAAGGCCTGTAGGAGTTTACAGAATTACACATTTCCTATAAAGATAAAAATAGAATAAAAGAATCATCCAGGTTGGAAAAGACTCTAAGATCATGAAGTCCAACTGTCAACCCGAACTACATTGTCCCACTACCAAACCCTACATATCTCAATACTTCTGGAAATGGGGACTCCACCATTCCCTGGCCAGCCAATTGTAGTGTTTTAGTACCTTCTCCTTGAATAAATTCTTCCTGATGTCTGATTAAACCTCTACTGGTGCATCTTGAAGCTGTTGCCTCACCTCCTATCATCTGTTACCTGAGAAAAGATCCCAACACCCTCCCTGCTGAATCTCTTTTCAGGCTGTTGTAGAGAGCGGTGAGGTCCCCCTCAGCCTCCTGCAGACTAAACAATCCAAATTCTCTCAGCTACTCCTCATAAGTCTCGTTTCCTAGTCCCTTCACCTGCTCAGTAGTTCTTCTCTGCGCACAAGGAGGGAGTCTGGACATGATGGCTACCAAAATCATCCATATTCCTTGAAAAATGGGATTTAGGAAGGAAAAGGATGTCATGTAAATTGTCTTTGAAATCACTGGCATTGCACTGATTTCTACAGCCAGGATCTTTAGTTCTAATCTTTGTGTAGTAACTCTAAACACTTTCTTTGTTAGTAGATTTCCTGGTCTGTGTATTGTTTTTGACCTTGTATTTTGTAGTGTTATATGTACCAATTTTTCATTTTGAATTTTTTCTAGTGTTAATGAAGTACATGATCCTACATATCAATACAGAGTTGACACAGGTAATTTCCAGGTAAGTCAGAAATATTTCTTTGATCTTCAGTTGTCAAATGTAGTTAGGCAATGCAATGAAGGGCATTTGCTCTCAGATTTCCATTGAAATCTAACAGTTTAGAAAATTGTTGACCTGGTGATCTTGCTTGGTCTACTAGGGTACTTTGCATTTTGCTTCAGATCACATGTAGGCTATATTGAACTCCAACCCAATGAGAACAGTCTTGCTATAATCTTGGGTATCTGGAGACTCAACACTACATGTTTTGTCAGGGACTCATGACTGTGGGAACCAAAAGATGATTATTTTTTTTTTTAAGCTTCTTAAGTCAGTTTTGTATATCTTGACTCTTCCCAAGGTCCTCTGTACTAGAAAATTTAAAACTTCCTTACTGGAGAGGAAGATATAATTTATATGGTTTCCTGTATAATTCTCAGGAAATATGTTTGTTTAAAAAAAAAAAAAAAAAAAAAAGTGTACCTTGACATATGCCATCCTCATTTTGTACTTCCTTTCATACTTTCCCTGAATAAATGCACCATTCTGTACTGTGTTTTGGAAATCAACAGTTTCTGTTGCAGGGTACAACTGAAGAAAGCAGGAATAGACCAAACTTTCTTAAATAATATTCTTTATATAGGGAATGAAAATCTTCTTCCTTGTGGTGGCAACCACATATATTCTCTACCTTCTGTTCCTGATAGTGAGAGCATGTTCAGAACTCCGTAACATGCCTTATGTTGGTAAGTATTCCTTTTGGTTCTTCTCTAAGCAGGCTGTCTTCTCCTAGATGTAGGTGTAAATTCTCTAATAATAATTTTTCTCAATCTTTATCAGATCTCAGGTTAAAATTCTTGACTGCATTAACCTTCGTAGTGCTCGTCATTAGGTAAGGCTTTTCCGAGAATATTTCTCAGTACTTGAATTTTTATATATTTAAAGTCTTGAAAGAAAAAGTTATTTTTTTTATAATATACTCAGTGAAACTGAGAGGTGTTTGGTTTTTTTTTTTTTTTTTTTTTGAATATATATATTTTGCTTGGTAATCAATTCATAATTTTTGGAGCCCTTTCTTAAGATTTTTATAGACAGTTTTGATTTCCATTACTGCCACAATACACTGGAAGACTTAGCAGGAGATATATTTTGTATTGCTGAGTAGCTTGCAGTGCATTGTTGACCTCTTTTGGAGTTTTGTAAGCTGTGTTCTGTAAAGCAGAAGTTTAGAATTACTTTTACATTATTGTTTATATCTGTCCCCCACTCCAAGCAGTTATTTCAAATTGCTGCTGGCTTTCGGGTTGACTTTAGTGGGTGAAATATGACAAAAGTAGACTTTTTTTTTTTTCCTTTATTAGATTGACTGCTGAATTTAAATCACCAAATAATCCTTATTAATTTAGAAATATGAAAACAAAATGTGTCTTCAAATAAACAGCACTTGAACGTAATTACTTTTTAGCATACTACTCTATCAAGCTTGCACTTAAATTTTGCATTTTAAAGGCTCATTATACCTATATGCCATTACTTTTTTTTCCCCACAGCATTGTTATACTCTATTTACGCTTCGGAGCACAAGTTCTACAGGACAACTTTGTTGCTGAGCTGTCAACTCATTATCAGAATTATATCCTTGTGTTGTGATGCTGCTCAACTGGGAATATTAATCTGGTTTTCCTTAGGAAGTACTTAAAGATGATTTACCTAAGGACTGAGTATTTTGACTTTTAGGTGGACTTTTGAAACCCTGATCAAAATTGATAAAGCATCATGTCACTTTTTTCTAGTAGCTGTTTGTAAAGGTTATGAGCTGAGACAGTTTCAGTCTAATTTGTTTATATCAAGTAAACCACAGCTGCATTTGCTACTCTTCAAAAGGAATGAAAGCCCAGGCTTTGTTTTAGTGGTGAAATCAGAAATATTCTATTTTAGTATGTGCTTCACTATTGAAGAGAAGAACTTTTCTCAGCAAATATTACACTTTAAAATTGAAGATTTGTCTTCAGTTAGAACTTTACTTAGAAACAGCTTGAGTATACTAGTTGTCAGTTAATCTAAAAAAACAAAAGCCAATTGTTCATCCATTCATGCTCTCAAACTTTATTGTGACAAAAATTCTTTCTGTTAGAGCAGCTTACATATGTTTTGAATCTCATTTCCAAAGTTTACGTGAGGGGAGCTATATTGAGAAAAATCCTTGACGCTTTCTACCAGCAGAATTCTTATCATTTTATGGTTTATTGAACTTCTATCTCTACACATTAGCCTTCGTCTATTCCCCCTCAAAGAATGCGCTGTATGGTAAGTGTAAGCAATTTGTAGCATCGTAGAATGGCCAGGGTTGAAAAGGACCACAATGATCATTGAGTTTCAACCCTCTGCTATGTGCAGGTCACCAACCATCAGACCAAGCTGCCCAGAGCTACATCCAGCCTGGTCTTGAATGCCTCCAGGGATGGGGCATCCACAACCTCCTTAGGCAACCTGTTCCAGTGCGTCACCACCCTCTGGGTGAACAACTTCCTCCTAATATCTAACTTAAACCTCCCCTGTCTCAGTTTAAAACCATTCCCCCTTGTCCTATCACTGTCCATCCTTGTAAACAGCCTTTCCCCCTCCTGTTTATACTCTCCCTTCAAATATTGGAAGGCCACAATGTGGTCTCCCTTGAGCCTTCTCCAAGCTAAACAAGCCCAGTTCCCTCAACCTTTCCTCATAGGAGAGGTGTTCCAGCCCTCTGATCATCTTAGTGGCCCTCTTCTGGACCCACTCCAAGAGCTCCACATCCTTCCTGTACTGGGGGCTCCAGGCCTGGATGCAGTACTGCACATGGGGCCTTGCAAGTGCTGAGTAGAGGAGACAATCACCTTCCTCTCCCTGTTGACCACCCTTTTTTAATGCAGTCCAGAACACAGTTGGCCTTCCAGGCTGCAAGCTCACTCTGTTGATACATGTCCAGCTTCTTGTCCATCAGGACCCCTAAATCCTTCTCCACAGGGCTGCTCTCAAGGAGATCTTCCCCCAGTTTTATGAATACCTGGGATTGCCCTGACCCAAATGCAGCACTGTGCACTTGGCCTTATTAAACCTCCGTCGTCTGGCAAACTTAGATGACAAGAGTTGGCATATTAGAACATACTGTGTAATGTCCTTACGTATTTTCTTGTCTCATTAATTTCTATTTGCTTTGCACTAACAGAAGCTGTGCTGTTCCTGAGTAATTTAGTATTGGAAATATGAGGGAATACTAAAATAGTTACAACTAATAGACTTGACTTGAATTCTTACACCTTTTTTCTGATTGAGCTTATAGTCAATGTGCTTGCAAATACTGCTCTAACTTTTGAGCTGACTCACAGGCAGCGCTTAAAGAGCAAGAGTACTTTACTCATACTTTATTATAATAATAAAGTTAATATATTTACATGCTGGCAAACTTGACTGAAATATGGAAAACAGGCTGATGGAAATGTAGGAATTAAGCTGCTCTCTAACTTGGGGGGGATCTTGGGGAATCTGGAGGGGCTTGCTGTGTGGAGAGGAATTCACAGAGCCCGTTTAAAGGGGAGGGAAAGGATTAAATCTGTGGCGCTTTTTTTGCTTTCCTAAGTATAGGGTATGATCTGACTCTCATAGTGATTGTAAAGCATTATTCCTATCTAACAGATAAAGATTCTATAAAGCATGTTTACGTAGAGAGCATTCTCTCGCATTTAAGCGTTGAGTTTAAAATATACTGGGAATTGTGGGGTAGGAAGGCACGAGATTCTGAAGCTGGTGCTTTCTCTAAGCTTTTTAGATTTGAGATTGATTGTACTGTTGCAGGAAGATGCTGTTTTTTGTTATGAAAGACAAGACAAATGGTGAGGTGAGAATAAAAGGTTGCTAGAGGTATTAATCTACAGAAGTTACAAAGTAAAAACCTGCTAGAAAAGAAGATGCTTTTGGCAAATTGATGGATTGGACTCTATTGCATATAATTTAAAACAGCAGCTATCAGCAACACGTAGTACAGAAATCAATGGTTTAAAAACAGGAAAGACAGATTTGTCATAAATAGCCAATAGAAAGTATGTACGTTCCTTTTGTCTCACGATGAACTTACAAGTCCTTCCTTCATCTATTACAAGGGTGGGAAAGAGCCAGCTAGTTGTTAATTTACAACTTTGGTCTGCTACATTCAAAACTTGGAACAAACAAGGTGTTGAAGCCTATGCTTTTGAAAAAAGTATGAACATTTGAATAATCACAATGATAATGTATGACTTAACTATTTGTAAATAAAAACGGTATGGCATGAAACTGAACAAGGGAGGAAGTCTGCTTATACAACCTGGGACATATATATCTGAAAATATGAAGAGAACATTATGTCGTTTCTTAAAATTTTAAGAACGCCATGATGATGTGGGCTGAAGGGTGGAGAACTTAAAGGAAAGAATTCTTGGATATAGTTTTGTCAAGTTGTTGTCGTGATTGCCTTGTAAGTTTTGGGTCTATTGCTTCAGTGTTGGTGTAAAAGTGCAGCTGTGTTTCTAAATTTAATATGCTAAATTAACCCTTGTTTGTATTTTTCCAGAATCACAGTTGAAGGACAATCCTGCTTTTTCTATGCTGAATGACTCAGATGATGATGTGATTTATGGGTAAGACTATAAAATAAGTATGGGGTCTTTTTGGCGTGTTGTTTTTTGTAATATTCTTTTCCATCTTAATTAAATAACTGTAACTGAAGACTTCGTAGATTATTAGTGAAAGTAGACTGCCTGTGTAACAGAAGTAGCTTATTGGGAAACAAATACAATGAGAATGGGTGTTATTTTGATTATTTTGGTTTTCTTTTCTTTTTGGTTTCTCAAAGGAATTGCGAAGGCTCTGACACAAATGGGTAAGTTAGTATTTAGGATAGAACAGGACATGGAATGAAGGCAGAAAGGTACATGAATGGAAAGGAATTCCTTCCAAATTGGGAAAGATTGGAGGAATCAAGTTTAGTCAGCTAGGGGGTGACTCGTACAGAAATGCTACAGGGAGAGATAATTGTCCATGTGAAGTGTCCGTCACTTATCAAAATAGCAATAACCAAATGTAGCAAAACTTCCAGGACTTGTGTGAGTTTATGTAACATTAAAACTACAGTAGCAGCTGAAAACTTAACTGGGTCAGGCTTTCCTGTGCTAGATGCTGAACAAACTGCTTATCTGCCCTTGTTGTTTTCACCTTTTAAGCAGAGGCACCGAAGGGCTGACCAGTGGGAATGGTTTAATATTGCAGTAACCTGAACAAGCCTGTGCTAGAGTAGCTGCGTGCTGAAGTGGCTTGCCTTCATTTAGTTAGATGAATAGTGGACCAGCAGTAGTGCCAGCTTGCTCGCATGCTAATCCTTGTCAGTAGTGGTTTGTAGCTACTGCAGTAATCTTTATTGTATATCAGCCTCTGGAGAGAAGTCGTACGTATTTTTCATAACCCCAGAAGGAAGCAAAAGAAATACAAAAATACAAACTTTTTACTCAAGTAACAATTTGATGCCTCGTTGTATTTTAGAACTTTCCTATTTTAGACTTACTAACTGATTATTACGTTCAGAAGTTCTCAAAAAAAATGCCTGTTTCACAGGAGTGACTATGAAGAAATGCCACTTCAGAATGGCCAAGCTATTAGAGCCAAGTTTAAAGAAGAATCAGACAGTGACTGATGGAGTGATTTTGATACAGACAGACTTGTTCAGATGGAATTAAAGCAGTTTTGAAGTTTTCCTAGATGGACCACTTCCTTGGCTTACTTACAGTCTGCTGTCATCTGAACATGGAATTCCAGGAAGGACATTCTGCTTCTGTTTCTGTTTACAAAGGTAAAGCTGAAAAGAATGCTTGAAAAGGTTGTGGTGGGAACTCAAGGAAACCAAAATTTATATGAGTCTTACAAAATGCCTGTTGGCAGGATGTCTCTGGACTAATATTTAAGTCTGTGTCCATTTTGAGGTGTCACAGGTTACATACGGATCTTAAAATTGCTTCTTTGCTGCTTGGTGGCTTGTTGTTGTTTCCCCTCCCCTTAGGATTATGTAGAGCACAGCATCTTAAACCTCTTGCATTTTTTTCTAGCTCCTTTTCTGTTGTTCACTGCTGTATGAAGTGCCTCTTTTCCCTTTCATTTTTCTACCTTAGTCATTTAGACTGGAGGCAGGGATCGATGTGCTTTAAGGTTCTTTCTTCTGCCTCTGTTTTTTTTTTTTAATATTATTTCTTGGAAATGCAGAAAATCAAAAGCTTCCCATTCCTCCTTCTAAGAGGTTGTATAGACTTCAAACCGTTGTTTTAACTCCATTTAAATGGATTTACCAGATATGTTATAAGCGTGGGATATGTGCAAATAGGTTCTAGTGAGCAAAAATGGGCTGTGGTCCAAAGTTATTTGTATGATACAGGTTTCATAACATGCTTTACCACCCCAGCAAAACTGTTTGTTTTGTTATTGTTGTTGTTTTCAATAGCCCTCTAAATAGAAAATATTTAGGCAGAAGTAAACCTCCGAAGGAAGTCAGAACTTTTGTGTGTGTGTGTTCTGGAGGAGATTGTTACGCTTAAAAGAATACAGTATAAAGTTCCACTTCATATTTCCAAACATTTCATTGTAGATGCTTTTTCTACATCAGACTTTTTCATGAAGTTGTATTTATTGGCAGTTCTTATGCTTTCTGGGAATAATTACAGGTGCTTATGCCTTGAAGTTGCTTAACAGCTTTTGAGCACGTTCTGTGCATAGCTCAACTTCTCTGTCATACCACAGTTGCCAGCAGTACTGCTTGAAATTTTCACCCATATATTTTATGATTCTTTATTCCAGTATGTGCTGGAACAGTTATATAGGAATGCAGTATTCCTCATACAATGATGCTGCTTCTCTTTTTAAAAGCTGTTTTTCTTCCACACTACTGCTCAGCTCTATATTTATCTGGATGCTGTTTGTTTCCAACTACTTCTGAATTTTCAAAGACTTGACCAGTCTCTTCTTTTTTTAAGAAATAGATTCATAACTGTAATGTACTTTTGTAACATTTCTCTGCCCTGCTGCTGTGGAAAAGATGTATTAGGCAGAAAATGGTGCTGGCTTACACTAGTAAATCATGCTTACGACAGACCCAGTCTAAGCAGAGCAGTGCAATGAAGTTGTACTAAACTTATGAATCACATGGGGGGGCATAGATTTATTCAGCATTTCTACAGCTGGTTTAGGTTATTGCAGCACAATAACCTCCCTGTAGCTGTTCAAGAGCATTAAGGGGAGACTGGGAGACTTCACAAAGTAACACTTTACTTACAGATGATCAAAGGAGCTGCTTCAGGTGGTTGCAAATACAAAATAGTGCAGATTTAAATCTGCGCTCCGTTAGAGACACTCTGTTAGCGTGGTAAGACTTTGTGTGTCTGTATAATGTGTAATTTTTGAGGATATTTGGAATTTACAGAGTTGTGTACCGTTACTGTTTGTTAGAAGCCAAAGCACTATTGTGTGGCTAAAGCAAGGAAACAAAGTGAGAGGGGGGCTGGGAAGAAGGCGGGGGAGAGAGAGAGACAGATTTTAATTTTCTTGTTAGTTGGTGTCCATTTAGAAGAACATACAGGGAAACATTACAGAGTTTTTTGGTTTTTTGGGGGGTTTTTTGTTAGTGAACTCTAGGAAGCCATATTTTCAGCATTTTCTTTTAGAATTTTTTAACAAGTATAGGGGGTGAGGTTTTTAACCTAAAAGAGATGAGCCCAATCTTATTTTTATTATCCTCTATGTGATTTTCTTGGGGCTTACAGTTGTTTGAATTTGCACAGTTAGACTCCAAAGCCAACTGGACATTTGTTGTGTACCCCAGGTCCCTTCCACTTGCACTGGAGTGAGTACAGGAATTAGGTTTTCAAAAATTCAGATCCTTGCCTATTCAAATCTCTTTGACTGTCATATTGTTTAATTCTGTTGTTCCAAATTGACAAAATACTTGATTTGACAAATGTGCAAAGTGTACTGTTTCTTATCACAGTCTGAGCTGGTTGTTATAGTCAAACCTGAAGTAGAGTGTCATGCTTTAGATTTCATTGCCTAAAAATATTTTAAATCTAATTTGGAAAATGTGGTATTCTTTCAAAGCTGTTCTCAGCCTGTTTCACTTGCCACTGTATACCTTAAATTTCCCACATGACTACATTTGAAATGAAAATAGGAAAGCTGAGATAGCAAAATAGGTGCTTCAAGTTAAGTGTCCCACTACAGAAGTAATTTAATTTCTTTAGAGATTGTCTTAAGCAGTGTTTGCCATATAAAATAGTTCAGTATTTCAGAAGTGCTAGAGTGTAATAGTAAGCTTGACTGGAGAACTGTCATAGCAAAGACTGTTCATAAGTGAAAAAGTGAAGCAGATCTGCTAGCAAGATGTCTCAGCTTCACTCTCCTTATCGGAGATAGTATTTGAGGAATATTACAATCTGGATTGCAAACAGCTTGGGAGTAGGTGGCATAAATTCATCACCAAGTAGTGTACTGTAACCTAAGGATAAAACAGAAGACATCTGGATAAGAAGCTATGTTAGGCTTTCTTTTTGTTAAAAATACTTCAATATTTCATGCCCTTCTGGAGCTTGGAAAATAAGGAGATAGCACAGATGTAGCACTGCTGCTCTCTAGGAGATGCTTGCTAGTAAACAACTGCAAGACTTCCATGTCCATTGTGATTAAGATGGGACTTTCAGGGAATCAGATATAGTTGAGTATGAACCCGTTCACAGCAGTTGTTTTCTGAAGCGTGTGCTTTAGATGGAGTTGGTGTTAGGAGTGGTTGGAAACTGTCCTGGGACCGGCAAAGAATAAGTAGCATAAAGTTCAACATGAGTAAGGAATTCCAGGAGACCTATGGAGCTAATTTGGTTAAAAAAAAAAGTAATGAAGGATGTTTTAAGCTAGAAAAGACTTCAATCTATCTCTGAGCCAAAAGACAACTTTGTATTCAGTCACCTAGTTTTTGCCCACTTCCTTTTGCATATGCCAGTAAGAAACTTTGCATTACTGTAAATTTTTTCAGAGGTTTGTAAATATGTAAAATGAAGCTAAAATATGGAGTATTTGTGTACCAAAATGGTATAAAATGTGTAAGATAAATGCTCTGTTTAATAAGAAGCTGTAAATTAAATGCTGCTTTGACAAAGCGTGCATGGGGACATGTTAAATATTGTGTTTAGGGGTTGTATTAAGGACAGCAAATTATCTGTTATGTCGGAAAGCTTCATTCTAGTCTTAAGTACAAACCAAAAAATACCACTTCAAGCAAAAGTTGAGTATTGAGTTTCTTGGAAGACTTCATGTGCATAGTCATTGTTAAATATGTTCATAATAAAGTTTTATATCTTTATGTTGTATCTTGGTTTTATTTTGCTTCCACTGCATTATTACCTACCCTCCACTTCTTGTGTATTTTGTGTGTATTTAAACTTGGTTACTCGGATTGGATCTAGGAGGTTATGTTTGCACACAGTAACCAGGGAATTGTGGTGGTTTGTCTGGAGCCAATCTGAGATTCTGAAACTTCATATAGTTTCCTAACCATAAGGAAATGCATCTCTCTCACACTTTCATAATTAGTCAACTGTCTTTCTCATTTATAAAGTGTTCACAAGACAGCACGTTCACCAGCAGCATTATAGGTGATAGTATATCAGAATTCGTTGTCATTTGATCAGAAAAATAAGTATAGAGGTTTTAAGACTTAACATACTAAATACATCATTAAGCGACTTCTTAAGTAGAGCTTGCTAATACTTCCAGCACTAGCACTTCCAGAATGCAAAAAACTTGCCTTTTTTAAATGAAGACATTTATTTCTATTACTCTTCTGTGTCTGAAGTGCAGTATAAGCAGATAAAACAGGTGCGTTGTTTGGGGACCTAAGTTAGTTTCCCAGAGATGTTTGATTTTCTTGGTTTTTTCTTTTTCTTGATTTTTCTTGGAATGTTCAAGTGAGTGGTCTGATGTGTGTCTAAACTATACTGAAGAGAGGTAACAGAAGTGGAACTGCAAGAAATTCCAGCAGGCTTAACTTTAAACAGGTCACACGACTAGTTATGAATTTCAATAATTTAATGCTAACCAAGAGTACAAAGTGTGAAAGTTGGTGTCGTCTTTAATTTGGTTTTAAAAAAGAAATCTAGAGAACATGTTTACGCTGCAGCAGATTTCAGTATTAGCACCTTAAAGAGAAGTTCTTGAAGTTTTAAGACTGTGGCAACACTGGTACAATACTAAAACTCCAAACACAAACCACGTAACAGCATGTTTTCACATTTGAAAAAAGTTACAGAAAAAGGTACATTAAAACTGGAAGTTGTTCAGTGCATTCACAGTTTGAGCAGAGATGGAATCAAGTGCCAGAGTAGAAAAGAACTGAAGTATGACTGATTCCAAGGCAATCATATTGCGAGTCCAAAGGCACTGACAATACAGTACATGGTCTTATTCTCCCATCTCACGGTGCAGGTTCCTACAAATACAAAACAAAGCTTTCAGAGACAGAAGAAAGTTACAGTGACTTAATATTAAAAATACATGCTTCTGTGTGCATGCTTATCCATTGCTTAAGAACATTATGAATGAAGCTTTCACAACAGCAGAGCATCCCATGTTACCATTTATGAGTCAGAATCACAGCAGTGTGGAAAAAAATACAAAATTGTGCTATTACTCCAAAACTACAGCACTCAAATCTAAAAAAAACAGAAACAACAACAACAAAAAAACCTATGCTGCTTAGTTTCAGGAGGATTAGTATTAAAGTTGCAAGCTGAAGCATCCAGCAGCGTTGCTCCTTACCATCACTGGAGTTGTCCCAGAAGCAAGAGCTTGCTGTATGTAGCCCAGCACCATTCTTCTGCATAATCACACAGGTCACTGTTTGTCAGTAGAAAAGCTTTTATTAATGTATTGCTATCACTGATATTTAGCTACATTTATGCTCACTATAGCACATGTATATACATACACATACAAACAGAAGTGCATGCTTGCAAGTACTTAAAGGACATGGTTCCTGCTCAACTGTCTTTTGTTAAATTCCATCAGTGTGTCACTGTACCAGCTTTATCAGAAAACAAAGTTGAGCTCACCAATATACTTGAAAGGTTTCCCCAGCTTGGTGAGCTGGCTTAGAGATTGTTCCACCACACTTGTTGTCCACTGGTTCACCTTGCTGTGCTGGTAGGCATTGCCACCTATTGCACTTTCAATGGCCTGTGGGGAACAAACACAAGTTACACTGCTGTCAGTCTACAAAGATGCCATTAACTCAACTGAACACAGAACACTGAGGATGAGACAGCAGCACACACACAGTAGTAGACCTAAATACTATTCAGGATTGTTGGAAGCGTTTTAAGATGCAACAGAGTTTGAAGCTGACACAAATTATAATCATTTTGTGCTATCTTTATTCTTCATGCATAATTCCTATCCCAATTTCCCAGAGTCTGAGTTATGATAAGGGTCTCACATTTAAACAGTCCTGAAAAAACACACAGAACAACAGTTCATTCACAGATATTAATCTGTAGAAATAACATATGGAGTTTTCAGCAGTCATTTTTGGGAACAAAGACCAAAATCAAAACAAAAGACTCATGTAATTTTTGCTGACTAATAGAGCAGAAGCCGTTAGTCAAGCAATCTCGTTTACTTACGAGGAAAGCTTCTCCTTTAAGACACAAATAAAACTACATTAAAGTTGCACGTTTTATATCACTGCATTTTTCTGGTAGAAACTGTTCACGAAGTAACTACAAAAGCAGTTCAGATTCAGATGAGACAGGACTGTGTAGCAGAGCATGCCCACCCCATTTATAGACATGCCTACCCTGTGAGAACTGGGCACAAAAAACAAACCTCTTCTTAGCAACAAGGATTAGTTTCCTAGCAACAAGAATTAGTCCAATCATTTCAAACTAACTTCATTCTGGAGGAAAAGCATCTCACAAGGACACAGTAACATGCATATGAAGATGATCTATATGAAATGTTGCATGTTAATGAAATATAACATCTGTCTGACAGCTTTTAACATACAGCATCCACCTAGAAATTCTAATTAGGGCTACACTGCAACCAGAAAGAAATATATAAAGTTATTTTCATTATCTTTTTAAGTTGTAATACATGTCACAACTAAGGCTAGGTATCATCTCCACTTAAACAACAGTTAAATAAATCCATGACTACCTATGCCTCAATAATAACCTAACTGTTGTGTAACAGAATTCCCGACAACAGATTTGCTTGAATGGTTTTTAGCACACAACATAGCATACTTCCATATCAAAGTGAGAGTGTTAGCTTACTTCTTTAATGATGTTACTGACTTCATCAACAACAAAAGATGTCTACAAAGAAAAAAAAAAAAGAGAACTTTAAATCATCAATGAGCACATTTCTATGTACACAGTTCAAACATTGTTAAGGAAATAAACTAGGAGCTTAATTTATGCTTGGCAGGTTTCTTGTGAGCCAGATGCAGAGTCTGGCATAGCTCGTCATTACTCAAGCTCCCTGAACCCAGTCAAGGGAACATTCTTGCGAAGTAATCAAAAGTAACAAACCAGCACAGACACTGAGTTAAAGCTCCCAAATTTTAATTTGAAAGCATCGCAAAATAATGCGTGCAGCATATCTGTCCACATATAAGCCCATTTTACAGTAAGCATTAATGTCTGTGGCTCACAGAGCAGGCTGCAAACAGCCTCAGCGTGCAGACACGGCTTACAGTTGAATGAAACCGACATCTTCAGAGCACTCATGCAGACCAAGCATTGATTCACAGCTCAAGGAGGTGCTGTTATGATGGTTTCAGCTGGGGATATAAAGAAAGCTGCTGTTTGGAAACCAAAAGGGAAATCTACTCTTTGAAAAGGGTAGGTAACTGCAGAACAAGGGGAAATGGTTGTAAGTTGAGGGAGGGAAGATTCAGGTTGGATTTCAGGAGGAATTTCTTTACTATGAGAATGGTGAGGTGCTGGAACAGGCTGCCCAGAGAGGTTGTGGATGCCCCGTCCCTGGAGGTGTTCAAGGCCAGGTTGGATGGGGCCCTGGGCAGCCTGGTCTTGCATTAAATGGGGAAGTTGGTGGCCTGCATGTGGCAGGGGGGTTGGAGATTCATGCTCCTTCAGGTCCTTTCCAACCCTGGGCATTCTGTGATTCTGTGATAGTGTCTGTATTTCCTACCGCCTTCAGCCCTCTCTCAAGCTCCAGCAGATAGAGACAAAACGAGGGGCAACCCCACCTACACAGCACAGCATCCAGAACAAAGCAGCGCCAACCCGACACACCTCCATCCCTGCAGCCGCTCTGCTATTGTCTGACACAGTCACTGCGGACTTGCTCAAGAACAATGCAGCGAGTTGTCACGCCGGCCTTCCACAGGAGCAGCACTGCAAGCAATGAGCCCCGCTCCCGCCCGACGCTGCCCAGCCCACAGACTCCGCCGGCAGCGCCCAGCCCCAGCCCAGCCCCAGGAGCTACCCAGCGGCCCGGGGCGTTCCGTGGGGTGAACGCGAGATCTTCCACCGACCCGCAGCCTCCGGAAAGAAGACGCCGGAGCAACCCTGACACCACCCTACCCGCGGACGTTACCTCCTCCCCCGCCTGAAAGTCGTCCATCGTCCCGCCGCGGCCCCTCACGCCGTAAAAACTGCCCCGGCACCGCCCCGCTCTCCACCACGCGCCTCGCACTGCGCATGCGCGGCCGCTTCCTGCTCCCCCTCGCTACGTTAGTCAGCTCTGCGCCTGCGCGTCTGGCGCCGGTCCGCGTTGGAGAGCGGCGCAGTCCGGCGCACTATTCTGGCTTGCGCGGCGCGTGTTGTGCGTCTCGGGCGCGTAGCAACGGGGAGAGCTGCGTCAGCCGCGGCTACCGGCTGGTTGGATTCTGCGCCCCCAAGGTGGCGCGGTTTCCATAGCGACCGCACGAGGTCTGGGCGGGGAGACTGCTGTGGTGTTCGTGCCCGTAGCGGGTGGTTGGCATTCAAATCTGATCCGAGAGATTGTATAGAATGACTCACAGAATCATAGAATGGCCTGGGTTGAAAAGGACCACAATGCTCATCTAGTTTCAACCCCCCTGCTATGTGCAGGGTCACCAACCACCAGAGCAGGCTGCCCAGAGCCACGTCCAGCCTGGCCTTGAATGCCTGCAGGGAAGGGGCATCCACAGCCTCCTTGGGCAACCTGTTCCAGTGCGTCACCACCCTAAAGGTCCTGACCTGACAAAGGCATTCAGAGCCCTGGTTTTAGAAACAAGGCTTAAAAGAAGGCCTGAGTGTGCTGTGTATGTTCAGGAACTGGGAAAAAAACAAACACAACACAAAACCAGGGAAGATTTAAGGGACGTTCTTATGGTTTTAATCTGATCTAATTATTTTTAGTGCATAAACAATGAGTTTAAAAGCTGTGCTTTTTTTTTTTTTTCTTCTCAATTTTTAGGTTGGTGTTTGTGCAGTTGTTGTATGTTGCTCAGATTACCAATGATACCCACGAGAATAACTCTGGGGGCAAAGGCCTATGCTGTAGCAGGAATCATTAGCCCAGTGCATGCAGGTTAGGAGTTGTAGTCTTGAGGCCCTGAGGGCACAGGTGGGTTTCAGCTGCACTGATTGCTGCAGCTGTGCCCTCTGCTGCAGGCTTGTCTCTGGGGTGTGCCTCTGCTCTGTATCCCAAACCTATGTCAGACCCCATCTCCTGCTGCTTCTGACCAGCATCTCAGGATGAACCCAACTTCCTCCTCTCAGCCAGCAGAGATCCAGCAATGGGGATAGCGAAGCATGGAAGAGATTTCTAAGGTGGGTTGCAAAGTTCTCCTCAGTGGAATTCTCCAAGAGTAATTTAGATAATTATTTTGCCCTGCTCTGGTAGGTGTATTGATGCTTGCCTCAGGTGTAGCTTCATGGCTTTGTTCCTCCAGCCTGGCTTAATGAGCCTCCTACTGATGAGTGTAATTACACTCTGTGGTTTATTTTATTTAGTAAAAGTTTTGCTCAAAATGAAGGCTCAGATTATCCATGCGTTCTTTGTTTGGCTTAGCTCTGTGCCTTGCTAGCTGTTGCTGTCTCTTGAGCAATACAGTTGAACGTGATTAGGCTCCATGAGCACAGGTGCAAATACTTGAACCTACTAAATGCCAGTAGTTTACAAGATTGCAAGTGGATTCGTTCTGCCACGTGAGTAGAATTGCAGTGCTTGATTTAATTTTAATTAAAACCAGTATTTCTTCTAACACTCAGGATGCTAAGTAGTGTTTCTGTAGTCCATATACGGTTTATCTGATAGAGTCAGTCTATAAAAAAGGGCTTTCCAGGCAAATTTCCAGACTTTTAAATAAATTAGATTCAATTTGAAACTTCAGTGCTTGTGCTTGTTTCTGTAATAGAGTGAACTGAGATATCTAATCCAAATAGAATTCTACCTTTTAACTTAAATCAGGTTTATTTATTGTAGGCAGACTGATTTGCTGTTTTTACTAGACCTGTAAAAACAAATTATTTTGATCTGTCTGCTTTTCTCTGTTTGCTTGTATTAATTGATTTGCCATTCAGAGCTGAGTATTTTGTTACGGAGAAAGAACTGCCTATGACACAAGAAGTGTTTTCTGTGTGAGCTCTGGGGACGTTGGGGTTAGTAGTATTTTCACATCTATGGTATCAGAAGAAGAAATTACGTGGAACTCAAAACTACTTCTCTTCCTGTGTGTGGCTTGGAGACCAAGTCTATTTTGCTGTTATCAGTCAACTTTTGTTTTCTGTTGTGCTAAGTCTCTCCTTGATGTGAGAAAGATGACTAACTTCTCTTTGATTAATTGTTGCTGGTGACAAAACTAGAGACTGCGAAAACTGTTACAACACTGGAACTCTTTGATTGCTTCTGTTTTGAGGGTGCTCTTATGTACGTACTTTAGTCTAATTTTGGTGGAGGGCAACTACTGATTTTCTTTCAGGGAAGATAAGTAAATAGCAGGAGTGCTACTCATCTCTTAAAGCAGTTTGCTTCCACACGTCTTCCTTTGAAAAGGTAAGGACAGCTTTTCTTTTTTATAACTGTTCTATATGACGCTACATAAAGGAATGCATTTTTGCTTACTGAGATGGCATTGTTTTGACTGTAAAGGCTTTGTGGGAATGCCACAATTGTAACTTAAAATACCATCTTTTTACATTAGCTATTGAGGTGGGATTATTAAAATCACAAGACATAGGTCTGGTAATATATATGTATTGTATGCACCTTACAAGTTAATAGTTTAATATAAGGATGTGAAAATTGAACTGTTGTATGGCTATATGAAATAACACTTGAAATGGTCTTGATTAAGAATAAATGCGTGGTATCTACAAAACGTAAAACAGCGGCATGTTCCAGTAACTTTTGTGATGACAATCTTTATTCCAAACCTCTTCAATCTGTGTCTTAGCTACAGGTGTAAGACATCTACTTTTGGGTAAATTAACAAAATTATCCAACTATCTCAGGTCAGTGAAGCCTTTAGCTTGAGAAGATCATTTTAACTGTACTTATTTAGTTATCTTTATTTCACTAATGCTGAAGAATCTGAAGTAAGATCAATAATACATCAATACAAAATTGCTTTGAGAGAAAGTGGCTTGCTAGGTCAAGTATTTGTAAGCTTAAAATTGTATAAAATACACTACTTCTTGCAAACTGTAACTAGTGTTGTGTAGGCTGTTTGATTATGTTTCAGCTGTGTACTATTTTATCTTGATTTTAAAGAAAAAAGGCAAGGTCTTCTGAGATTACACTGTATGCATGCACGCCGCCTTCTCCTAAGATGTGACCGTGTTGGTTCTCTGATCTCCTTTAGGGTAGACTGTCACACTTTTATCAGAAAGCTATCCTACAATCTGCCTGCTGCTAGATTTTCTTAAGTATGTTATTTAAAATAATGTGTGGGGAAAAAATGTATGAGCTTTATGCTGAGGAGGGAGAAGTATCATGCTATTTACTCACCAGGTTGCCGTTACTTTTGGTTTTACGCAGAAGGTGCTTGGTTTTGTGAGCTTGGCTGACTGTGTAAGATGGATAGATTTGATGGGTAAATATGAAAGTAGAGCATCGGTGGAGGTTTTAAGTTGCTTTTTCCTGTAATGACCCTCCTTGCGTGATAAATGCAACATGAATGCTATTAAAAAAACAAATGTAGTGCAAACAGCTTCAGTGTTAGAAAAGCTCTTCTTTTACAGTGGTGGTGAGCTTCTCAGTCCACCTTGAATGCTTCCTGGAAATGTTTAAGGACTCAAATCTGTTGCGAGGCACAAGAATAATTCCGTTCAGAAGGGCTCCATTAATACAGGAGGTTTTAAATTATCTTTTTAAGTGCAAAAAATCTGATGGAAAGTAATGGGTACCTGAGGTTAAATCTTCACAAAGATTAAAAAAATAATTGCAGTACTTGCAGTACTCCTGGTTCTATGCTGGATTTCATCTTTATTCTGTGTAGCACATGATGATCTTGCCTAGCAGTGAGAGCCAGGGAGGCTTTTTGTCTGCACAGTGCTGTTAGACACAGGGCCCCTGGCACTTCTCTCTGCAGTACATCTGTTCTGCTTTTTGGTGTCAGAAGATGATCCTAGCCCCTTTTGGTTCTCTGCTGCTGGCAGGCGATTCAGTGCTTAAAAGATCTATCACTGTGAATGGAATTTGAAGTGTAGCAATAGACCAGCTGGTGTGAGAGATTGATGGTTGCGGTATCACCGATGGACTGAGGTCGTAAGTCTTTTTGAGGAATCTTGCTGTTCCTCCTGGAGAGCGTAGCTGTGGGAATGACAGTGTGGTAAGAAGGAAGACTCCAAACTATTACTTCCCTTGTGCCATTTAGATTTGCAGAGGCTTGAGCAGCTGAAAATACAGCTTTTCAAGAAATATGAAAGATTCTGTGTGCCCTTAATTATTTCTATAGTTTTTCTTGTAAAGATGTCATTTGAAATCCATTTCCCAGTATAGACTCAAAATATGGAAGGCTTTCTCCTTTTCTGTGGAGAAGGAGTTGGTCCTTTATTAAAGAAGGGATACCAAGCAGTGACTAATGCTGTCTTTCTTAAAAGCAGATGTTGCTCCTTGTAACTGATGCACACTGGGGTGTTCTTAGGAGCTCAGTAAGACACTTCTGTATTTTCATTAAGATCACTGGAGCAGTTTTGTTTGATGTTCCCCCTACCAACGGCGGTCATGAATTTGCATGCTTATTCTGATGTTTCAGCAGGGTATTCTGATGACAGTGTAAATACGCCAGCCTAAGGGCTTTCTATAAACTTCCAGGAATTCCAGTTTTTGGATGTTCTAATGGCTGTTTCACTATCCCATATATAACACAGAGCTCCCTGAGTTTGTACTGATTGCTCTTTCAGGTTGTATTGACTTAAACAGCACCAAAGACTCTGAGCATCAGTCAGTCAATCCTTGGTCATATCCTTGAGGAGAAAGATTAAAGCAGGTGAGGGACCTTTGAGCAGGGGCCTTTGAAAACAGCATGTTGAAAAATTGCTTTTTAGGTTTGAACTGAGTAATATCCTGTGAAATTGCACTTGCTGAGGAAATAAAACATGATTATGCCTATCTCTGTCTCTTTTGTTTCCACAGGAAGCCAGTCTATTTTTCTTTTTTTAACTCTTCTGTAAAATGCTTTGTCCTCTTGGTGTCTGTTGAAGAGTGTTGTGAAAAAAAAAATATATAAAACAATGGAACACGTGCTGTTTATGTTTAGAAGTTAGTACCTGCACTTTTTGCTTGTGTGACATTCTGTAGTTCAGTTGTGGCAAGCTGTATGTCAACTAATTCCCTGTGACTTCAGAAATTCATTGTCACTCATACAGCTGAAGGTTTTTCTTTTAACCTGAACACTCTCATAATAGCTTAAAACAATGTTCCATTTGGTTGGATTCTCAGCTGAGATGTGTCAGTGAAATATCTCTAACTGCTTCAGTGAGGTTTTCCCCTTCTGTCCTAATGGAAATTCTGAGTGTATTTAGTTCCCATGATGTTGGAAACACTTGACCTGTTTTCACATATGCATCTTTAGTACTTGGTGTTTTGTAAGTGGAACGCACTTACATTTGCCATAATAAGCACTACACAGTAATATTAAAGCTGAAAATAGCATGTTAGCTACATTGGATTCAAGAATAACTTTCTACTTTGCTACATTAAAATTTTGTTATATTTAGGTAGGAGTTTTACAGAAATGAAGATCAAAGAATATATCCAAAATAAATTTGTGAATCTGTTTTAATTTTTATAGCTCTCATATATTTGTACAGTTATATCATGTTTGGTGCAAAAATGGTTAGTGCACTGAGCTGCAAATAATAAGTGTCTTAACATTGTGGTGTTCATGTGTATTAACAAAGATAATGTCATTATTGTGTGAAAAATGTCTTATCTAGGCTTAACAGAAGTCAGGTTATTGATAGAAGTGACTCTTAAAGGATCTTTCCCATCTTTCTTATAGGCTTGTGTTAATTTGTCCGCTCAGTAAGATGAGATTAGAAAGGAGGATTCATCTCAACCAGTGTAACTCGTCCTGTCATGGGACCTGTGCTAGAAACTGACTTGGGCTTCTTTACCGGTTGTTTTGCACTGTCTGAAAAACATAGAGATTCATTGCAGAGTCTGTTATGTTGAGGCTTTCTGAAGAATGAGGCTGTCTTAAAATCTCTTTTGTATCTGAATTTGTGCATGAAAGGTCTTGAGTATAGCAAAATGTGTTCTCCAGAACGTTTGCTCATACTATTGAAATCACTTAACGAAGTGAGGAGAAGGGTTAATAAAACATTATTTTTCTCTCTAGATCCTGAAATTCCAAATCTATAAGACCAAGTGAAGCTAACCGTTCTCCCAGATCTTTTATGCTGGCTATCAGTGAATTCTTCCTCCACCTGGTGGCAGTTGAAGCCATACCTGGGATCTCGCTGAAAGCTCTCATCCCTTTTGGAACCACTCTGCAAAGAGCAAGTTCTTTGATGTGAAAAAGTCAAGGCTGCTGTGACCTTGCTTGTTCATATTCCCTTGTTCATATTCCCTGGATAGCAGAGACACTTAAATGATGCCTTGTGTGAAGACAGACACAGTTATTTTTTTCTTCAAGAGCGTGACGCAGCAAAACCTATCACCAATGAAGTAAGAAGACAGGCGACACTTGATAAACACTCAGATCTCTGAAGAGCCCCATTATATTCTCTAACGTAGTAGCCATTGTTCTGGATGTGGTAGACCAGTAAGTCAACAGCTGTGAAATTTGGGGAAAATGGCCTGTGAGTTTAATCTAAACTTCCTTAAGGAATTGGAGCGAGAGGCTGTTCTGGAAGTCCTGTACCGTGACCAGATGGTGAGAAAAACAGAGGAAGAAAGAGTAAGGTACTTGCCTTTCCTCTTTTTGTGTATTGCTGTTCTTTTTCTTTCTCAGGAGTGCTTTTCTTCTTCTTTGCTGTCATTTCCCACGTGTTCCTCCTTTTGTTTCTTATTAGCTAGTAAGTTTTAATTTTGTGGAAAAACCAGGAGTTAACTGGAACCTTTTGGATTTACCACACTATTGACTACTTTAAAGATGAGCAAATGCTGTTCAGGGAATAATCTACTTAGTGAACTTTACTTAACATTCATAGACAGTTCAGCTGGTGCCTCTATTTCTTCCCCAATGAAGGCTTTATGACATTCTTATTATCACGTTCCTACATATGCCTGTATGGCCCTGGTAATGCAGAACACATTCAGATCTATGGCTGGCTAATTTAACCTCTGTTGAGCTAGGACTGAAGTTAAAGATTGTCAGGTACCTCCTTACTGTGCTGAATCCATCTCTGCTCCTTCTCATATATAACAGATAACAAGAGCACTGCGCTTTCTCAGTGGATGTCGGTAGGTGTCATTGGTTAGAAAAAGGATTCTGTGTAATGATTTTATGCTAACAAGTATCCCAGTTGTAGAGGATAAAGGATAATCCTTCAGCAGTTCATTTGCTTTGTATTAGGGATTGTGTAAGGATTTTCTTGCAGCTGGTACCTTGCTTTGCCACATTGCTTCCTTGTGTAAAACGTGATGTTTGTATGGCTAAGTTAGAAGGTTTTAGTCTCTTAATAAATTATAGACACATAATTGTTTGCTCTAAACAAAGTTTAAGTATACCTGAACTTGTTAAATAATTACGAAAAGTAAGTAAGGGGTTATTAAAAATCTGAATTGATTAGAAAGTCATTGACAGCTATTGGCGATGTGGCTAACAATGGAAAACAGATCTTGTCTCTTGTTGCTTGTTATGGAAACAAGGTTAATGGAAGGGGGGAGGTTTAGATGTTTAGGTCAGATGTGGTTTTTGTTTGACCTTTCAGGAGATGCATTTGTTACTATTATTTAATAGAAGATTTGATTCTTCTAATCAAGTAATCTTAATATATTAACAACTGTTGTCATAGACGTTGTGCTCCCTGGAAGCATTCAAGGCCAGGCTGGATGTGGCTCTGGGCAGCCTGGTCTAGAGGTTGGTGACCCTGCACAAAGCAGGGGGGTTGAAACTAGATGAGCATTGTGGTCCTTTTCAACCTAGGCCATTCTATAATTCTCTGATCATCAAAAGGAAGCACAGTTCAGATCAAATTTTTGTATGTGAGCATGTGATCACTTGTACACGTAACTTCAGTGCCCTGTCCTGAGTGTGTAAAGTTGATGTGAACAGAACCCCGTTTATATTAGACTGTTATTCTATCTGCAGCTTTGTGGCTGTATGTATAGTGAAAAAATGCAGAGAATCACACAGAATCACAGAGTGCACTGTGTGTATGGATGCCTTCAGACAGAGCTCGCAATAAAGTCACACTTAAGGATGCATCTCCGACTGGCAGTGGCATTGTGCAACCAGGTCATCATCAGCTTGTAACTTGCACTGTTGCTTTTTTTTCCCTTCTTTCCTTTTTGACCTGTATGATTAGGAAACTGAAAATGCAGCTGCACCAGCTTCGATGGAAAGGGGCAAGAAACGTAAGCCAGGAATACCGAGAGAGGTCTTGTGCTCGCTGCCAGAAATCCCTTGGATTGCTGCTGAACAGAGGTGCGGTGTGCAATGGGTGCAGTCATCGAGTGTGCTCTGAGTGCCGCGTCTGCCTGAATCCCTCCCTTTGGAAATGCACCGTTTGTTATGCTCATGGGTAAGGAATGTTAACGGTTTGGGGAAGTTGTTGATTACACTGGTTTGGTTTACATTGGCTTTCAATACTGGATGCTCGCTGTTTTTGTGTGTTTATTGCTTTAAACAGATAATAAACCAAAGCCTTTGGCAGAAAGAATGAATGTATTGGGTGAGGACAGAAGGAGTTGATTGGAATGTTGCCCTGTACTTCATGGAGTCAGAAGTCCTTTTCTGCATTTAGCAAAATGCATTTTCAAAGTAGGCCAGAGGTGGCGTCATCTCTCTTGCAAAGATGTTAATTGCAAAAAGCGGAACAGTCTTAGTATCTAAACTCTAGATGGCACTCTAGTCAATAGATGTCCCCGAGTCAATACTGAAGTGGTGCGTCAGACTGGGTTCCGCGTAGTATAGCAAATTTCTTGACGTTCTTAATCATTATTATTTTTCTTTTTCTTTATTTTTTTATTTTTTGCCTCTTACTACTGAGATGAGGAACCTGGATGAATCAGTAGTGTGAAATCATGTTTTGTATGTATTTAACATCATTAACAACTTCTGTATTTTATCAGGAACTGCTTAAACACGGTCAGAACAGAGATCCAGGTTTGGTTACACTGAAATTGTTATTTACTTATTTTGCTCTGCCACCTTGGTTTTGTTTTCCTGAAAAAGGGAAATAATTTTTTTTTTTTTTTACGGTATTGGTACAATTTTTATATCAAAACATTTCCTCACAGTCCCTTCTATTAATCAGAATCTTCCTAAATCAAATGGTTTAGATATATTTTCACCCTGGATTGAAAAATAAAGTAATCTCTAAGTAAAGAGAGAGTCTTGAAAGAGAGTCAACAGGTCTGCTGGTTGACATAAATCCCTGTATGAAGGGTGAGCATTTGGGTGAAATTTTACTATGTGCCAATGCAAGACTAATGTACCACCTCACTCCCTCTTAAGATATCAAAATGAGGTTTAAATAATGCCTGAGAAATGTGAGAGAAGGTATTAGTCATAAACTCAATTAATTTCTAATTGCAGTTTAAAGTCATTTTCTGTGTTCTGGAAGAGACTATAAACTATCACTGAAATGGTGCTCTCTGAATCCTCAGTTTATTTTGCAATTTACACACAAGATAGATAAATCGACCCCTCCTGTATTTAGTACAAAACAGTTGCTCAATTTTGATGTTTCACTGTCTGTGCTTAATGCTATGAATGCTAAAAAATAGAGGCTTACAAACAACTGTATGTATCCCTGTTCAGATTTGTCCCCCTTCCCCACTTTCTCTTTTTATTTAAATTAGTTTCCAGCTATTTGGTGGTTATATAGTGAAAATCCCCTCTAGATAGCAGTTAATTACCAAAGTGCCTTGTTATAGTACTGTGCATCCTTAATTTTTTCATAAGCTTGTCCCAGTATTTAATGGTCAGAATGGGAAAGTGTTGCCTAAATGGATTAAAATATATTCTGACTTTTTATGAGGAAGTTTTATATTTTGTCTTGTTGATACAGAGGGATTCTACTGTGAATTTTGCATTATAGTAAAAAAAAAAAAAAAAATTACAGAATTTACATTCCATCTTATTTAATCATGGTGCAGAGTTCATTCAAACAGTCTCCTTCAGTTACCTCCAGTGGGCCTTGCATCAAGGCTGCAAATCTTAGAGAACACAGCTGTGTTTTAAGTATTAGTCAGCACCGTCTGCTTATTCTGGTGAGAGGAAGAACGATGGCTAAGAAGTGGAAGTGCTGATTTTCAAGTCCTGAGTGGCCATAATTTTAAATCTTGGGTACCACAAGAGTAATAAGTAAAGTAGTAGAAGAGTTCAGCAGCTTCAAAATTGATGTATCTCGTGGAAGTGACTGAAAATGCCAAGTCAGGTAGTGCTTGCACTGGGGTCAAGAGGGCTGAATCCGTGCTGTGCCACCTTCCTTCTACATGTACCTAGAGAGTACAGTATGGTGTGGAAAATGGTTGATCCAGGGATTTTGTTTCCTGGCTTTCATGAATGTCAGTATAGCTTTTGTGTTTAGAGATTCATGCTTTTCTACACAGGCAAGCCTCTACATCCATTTACTGTCTTTATACTGGCTGCCAGTTTGAAGGAAGTTTGGCAGAGTGGATGGCAATATAGATCTTAATTTCAAAGAAGGAAAATTAACTCCTGGGTAGAAAATAAAGTTCACCAATACTTGCTGAGGAAACTTTTTCAATGGAGCTTCATAATATACATCCCAAAATCCATGTGGACCTGAGATGTATGATATGTCCTAATGTTTTGGAAGACATTTAGATGAGAATTTGTATCCAGAGGATTCTCAGTTAAATATTTTTTTTTACCTTTTTAATAATGGATGGGTTCATATTGCAGACTTTGTCTAATTTAGTTGGAAACTACAAAATGTAGGAGTCAAATCTTCTGAAATTCTGCTCTTGACAGCTGTTTTATCTGACACAATTTTATATACATTAATCATTACCTTTCTAATACTGTGATCCACATACCTGTGAATCACACTGCCGTCACTGATATTAGTCTCCTCAAAATGAAGAGAAATGAGCCACAAATCCCATCATTCCATTACAGAAGTGAAGAAAGACTGTTTTCTCTCCTGCTTCAGGATTGTTGAATTCAGTGCGTACTTCCTAGTAACTATCCCAAGTTGTGCTCAGCAGCATATCCTGTCATAGATCTGTTTTCCCCATCTTACAAGGCTGTACAAGTGCCTGCAGCTGTATTGCATATAGTTTGTATAAGCTGGAATGGACCTAGGATTCCCAGCTTCAGAGCAGAATTGATTGCTTTTGGTGAGTTGTTCTACGAAGCAAAAATGAGGAGAATAAGAAAGAAAAATCATTTCTTTGCAAATCCACAGCAAAGTCAGTCACTGTGAGCAGTCATGAAGTCTTAGTTTTCTGGTAGGATTAAGAAGGACTGCTGAATTGCTTAAGTGGTTATTAAACAGAGACATGCACTTTTTGGAAAATGTTGCTTCAAATGTCTTTTTCTTGTTTTTCAGAGATGTGAAAGTAAAGGCTGGTGAATGGTTCTTTGAGGAACGAGCAAAGAAATATCCAGATGAAGGTAACCACTAGAACAAGCCATGCTGTGCAATCTGTAGTCCTCATCTAAGTGGAACACAGAATGTAGGCTACCACTGTATTTACTGCTTCAGACGTTTGGTGGACGATCTCTCAAGCATTATCTTGCCTTGTTTGTCTATACGCTAAATGAAGCATAAACACAAGCTAGCAGGAAATGCTGGAGAGTACAATTTATTTTGTGTGAGTAATGAAAATAAGAAGATTATTGACCATACCAATTTGAATTGATGAGCACATAAGGCTACTAAGAAATACAATGACACATGAAATAAATCTGAACCTGTTAAAGTCTGTGTGCGGGAAAGAAATGATCTTGCATCCATTGTTTAAGTTAGATCTTTGATTATTTTCACTAAGTTCCATTCCATCATTCCTTGAAAGTTTGAAATAAAGAAAAATGTGTAGCTATAAACCAACAAAGGGCTGAAAGCACCAGCTGTTTCTTTACTTTCAGCCAGCTGTGCGATTGCCTTCTGTTCAGTCTTTTCAGTGTGATTAAAAATACAAAGCATTAAAAGAAATTACAGAGGATGTGGATGGATTGCCCTGTGGCAAATGTGATTCACAAACCAAGGGGCTGTTGGTCTTCATTTTTCACCCACAGTGACTAATAAGATGGAAAGGATTTCCTTTGTCTTTCCTTGAAGCTCCTCTTGAGATGTGTTGTTGTTTCCCTTTGTGCCTGACTGTTCTTTCATATTACAGTTTGTTTTCCAGTATTGTATCTAATCTAGGTTATCCCTACCTAGATAAGAATAGCTGGTAAAAAGGAAAGTGCTGGACCTTGAATATCTGTTGCTAGACCTGATTTGAAAGAAATGGATAAATGGAAGAATATAATCAGGCAAATTTTGAGTAGTATTCACCAAAGAGCAGTTTTGGGAAATTGATCTGTGGTGTCTGCTAAGACAATTAAAACAAACAAAAAATTGATTCCATTTTAGCTAAGACAATTTCCGATTTTAAAGTATTGGTTGACCAGTTGTTTAAAGCACAGTTGTATTCTCTGTCCATTACTAATAATTTTCCCTCATATTCTCTTCAGAAAGTCTGTAGTTGGTAATTTTAACAATCAGTTGGGAAATCTTATATTTTCCTCAGAAATAAACCTGACTTTGCAAGATACTGAATGTCCTCACCTTGTACTGTCAGAGCTTTGTGGGTGCTTTGAAGCATTTTGCTTAGTTAGCCTAACAATGATGTTGTTGAAGTTACAAAATTCTAAGGACGTACACGAGGTAAGCCTGTAGGGCACAGTAAATTTTGTTTGCTTCCTTTGATTAGACCAGCTGCTGTAGTGAAACGAGTTAACAAATGGAAAACTTTCCAACAGCTGCGTAGTTATGTAACCTTCAAGCCTTGAGAGACAGTGCCCCCTTTTGGTTGGATGCTTAAACACTAGTGGAGCATTCTCTATCAACTGAGTTTGTTACAGTGAATTTCTCAGTGAATGTTGCAGAATAATGTATATATATATATAAAAAAAAGTTGTATCTGGACTGCTTTCTATTAATTTTGTGTAACTTCTACCTAAAAATCATGTTTTTGTGAAAGTGATAGCTTGCTTTCACTGATCAGTCAGTTAAAAATCTAAGGAATCATTTGATGTTACAACGAATCCAGATACTACTTATTAATAATAGAGCATTAAATCTGGAGTTCTGATTGAAATTTGTAACATCAGTAAGTTGGTTATTGTTCCTACCACCACCAGAATGTGTTACTTACCTGTGAGGAATGTAATTAACTATGTTTTCAGCAAAGCATGGGTCACATGATATTGTTCTGCATTGCTATTATTAGGAATGATTCATGATTAAAACCACTCCAGCGGTGGTCGTTGCATGCATTTAGCCATTCTTTCTGTTTATGATTGCTCAGGAGCAAACTGCATTTCTGTGAGCCTTCACTGTTTGTGCCTGGTGGAGCTCTTGCTCCTTGCTGTTCTTAACATTATGGGGCTGCTTATCTGAGGAATGTGACATGGTTGCTATTTCCCCGTGAGGGGAAAAGGCTTTTGTCATCCAGTTCTGTAGTAGGAAGGGTGAAAGGAATTATCCTAAGATGGAAGAAATGGTAGGAACCATGTGCCTACTCTTGCAATATATCTTTAACTTTTACCTGATGCTTGCATGCTATGGTTTAGTTATGTTTTCATACTCGCTTGGCGAGTTGAAGATGCCTATTGGCATCCTTATGTGATTGTCCTCAGGGTTTGCAAAGAGCATCTCTGAGTGCATCACCTGAAAAAGGAGAAAAGCTGAAATTGCAATTAAAATTTATTTTAATTTATTTATGCGCAAGAACTTCTTTACAGTGAGGTGACGGAGCACTGGAACAGGCTGCCCAGGGAGGTGGTGGAGTCTCCTTCTCTGGAGATGTTCAAGACCTGCCTGGATGCCGACCTGTGCGACCTGCTGTAGGGAACCTGCTTTGGCAGGGGGGTTGGACTCGATGATCTCTGGAGGTCCCTTCCAACCCCTATGATTCTGTGATTCTGTGAAAATTTGTGTTATAGAAGAGATTTGTGTGTTGCCTTGGGCATATGTTGATTTATGAGACGGGGATTGATTGAATTGTGTACATTTGCATGTACACAAACTCCTGTAAATACAGGCTATTTCCTGAAAATAAACTGACTTATAGAAAGTGCAATGTAGGCATTAATAACTGCAGATGTTGCTAAGTGACTTTTTTTTCTCCTTCCCAGGCAGGCATGAAACAGCTGGTGCAAAGCTCTTGAAATCTTATCAGAAACTGAGGTAATACTCATGAAAGGAGAAATGTTCTGAGGGCACTAAGACTTTGCATAGGAAATAGAGCTGATTTATAACACATGATATCACTTTTCTTTAAATTATTATAAAGAACAAATTTGAAGTACAAATGATAAAAATACAGGAAAAAAAATGCACAGTCTTCTCTTGGCAAGCCATAGGAAGGGTCTCAAGTTCAGAAAAAGAGTACTGTTTTTAGAGTATTTGTTTCTAATTGATTGGAAATGAAGGAATGTGTAGGATTTTTGTTAGATCTTCTTATCTCTTGTGTACTTATTTTCCTTGTTCAGATTTACCCACTTCAGTAATTTTTGCCTCTCATCTTTTAGGTATAAAAGCAATAATGTTTATATTTGCTCAATGGCAGATTTTGGTGCTTTGATAGCTTTACAATGAATATGAGACAAGAAGCTCTATATTCAGGAGAGTGCATCCCTTCTACTTTATACTAAATAACCCATTGATGGTTTGAGGCCTAAGCATAAGCATGCTCAAATTATCATTAGTGATATATAATGGAATAATGATCTAGTTTAAATGGTACTGTAGAAAATAAACCCTATTCTTTTTAAATTGTTGTTATTTTTAAGTAAGATACAAAGAGGTTACATCAATTTTATGAGAACTATCTGGCAAAGCATAGATGCGTGAGACAGAAACTTACAGATAGCTGTCTATGAGCCTGATCAGGGCTGCATAAGGACTTGCTTTTGCCTAGATACAGCATGTGTAAAAGGGAATCGAAAGGAAGTTTGCTGGCTGCCCTTCGAGTCTGTGATTGTGCTGTGAGAACAGTCTGGAGTCAGATTTAAGTATTTATTTATTTACAGACCAGGGCTATTTACAACAGATGAAATGGCTGTAGTGCTGTAAAAAGGCCTCAAACAGCCCAGGACACAGGCAAGGAAGTATCCTAGTATTGTAAATAAAGATAACTGCTTTCTGAAAACATATCTGAAAGAAAAATGGGGTGTGTAGCACAGGAATTGCATTTCAGTGCTTGGAACTCAGATTGCAGTGCTGCTAGCCAAAAAGAAGTCTAGAAAATCTATCCTGAATTGTATATTTCCTATGGTATTAAGTTGACAGTTCTGCCTAGAACGGCTCACGACTGAGGAGAAAGAAAGGCAGACTTAATTCAGTCTTTCTTTGTAAGAATTCTTATAAAGTCTTTCTTTATAAATTCTTATTAAAAAAAAAAAAGCCTGTCATGCAGTGGAACCTATATCTTCAGATTTTACAGGAAAGGCAGATAATAAAGATACTGAGCATGTATTTAGCTTACTTCTCAATGCATTAGCATGAGATATTAATTTTTGCACTGTTTTTTGTCTCTTAACTTTCTAGTAAAATTTCTGTTGTACCTCCAACTCCACCTCCTTACACTGAATCCACAGCAGGAAGTAATGCTAAGGTAAACATACACATGTGCAAAATATACATAGATATTCATGCACCTCTCATGCTTCCATTCATATGTAATGGCCAGCTAAAGAAATGCAGTAAGCAGTGATAAAGGCTGTAACATCATACTGCCATGTAAATGTTCTCTTATATTGTTTTTTTTTTTTTTTTTTCCCCCTCATGCTGCATTGGTAGTAGAAGAAAGGTTCCAGTCTATCATGCGAGATGTTTTCAATTCAATTCCAGTTTTTGAGGGAAGTGATTAACCTCCTCTACTTCATGTTTGCATCTGGAGTACTGTATCTGAGTTTTGGGTACTTCACTGAAGAAAAGATGTTGATCAACTGGGAACATGTTTAGTAGGGAGGCACCAAGAAAGCTCAAGCACTTGTCCTGTAGGCAAAATCTGCTGGACCAGAGCTTGTTCAGCCTGGGGCAGATGTGGCTGTAGTGGATCCTGCAGTGGTCTCTTTATCACCTGTTGGGGGTTAGCAAGGTAACAAAGCTGGGCTTTTCTCAGCAGTACATAGCAGGAGGAGGAAACGTGTAACAGCAAATAGTTTGTGCTTGCTTTCTTACAGTTGAACTTTTCCATTTGCAGGAACTTGGACAGTCTAAAAGTTTTAATAAATCTGTGGAAAACTTGTTTTTGTCTCTCACAACACACATAAAGAGTAAGTAGCTTTCACTGCTTTGTATTCTAGGATAACATTGTTGAGCATTTCAATTTTTTGTCCAAATTGTTGGCCGTGAGACAGTTACAAACCAAAGGATATGGACTACTTGCCTTTTGCCAAGAGTGAGCCAATCAGAAAAATAAAGCAGTAAGCTATGTTACCAACCACGAATGATTTCTTGTAAAGATGTAAGAAGACTGCATAAAGTTATTTTTAAGTTTACTGGATGTTCAAACCTTTAACTCCATTCATATATGCTGCTTGCTGTTCTTTAGGGTGCAGACTATGTATGTACATCTATGCAATGGGGGCAGCCTGTCTTTGTGATGAAGATAGTAATGGCATCAATGACCAGAGGAAAAATACCTCTGAGTTTTGTGGAGATTACAGGAGCTTGCAGATTTGCATGTGCTTGAATCGACCTTAGTATTTTCCACTAACTTCATTTTTGACAACTCAAATATAAGATTAGATCTCAATAAATTTGGCTTTAGTATCTTTCTACTTTTCCTCCTTACTCTTATCTTAGCTGTTGTGTGTCATTTCCTCTTCCATCCATCAAAAAGGCCTGTTCTGTTTTCCATAACTACACAAATTTGAGGTTGTATCTATGTGAATACATACTAAAGCTATGCAAGATACAGTATCTTTCTCCTGAACAAAAATTTGGCTCAGGGTGCAATGGGATGCTTTGTCACTGGAAGCGTGTGGCTAAGGCAGCACTAAGTTGAATGAATAAATGTGTCCTGCTTTCTGTTAGTTTACAGCCTGTTTGTATCCCACAGTTACTGTACTGCAGTCCAAAACCCTATCAGGACCACAGCAAGTTATTTTAATAGTTCACTTCTACTGAAAGGAAGGTCCTGCACCCCCACATCTTTCATCTGTTGTGTATCTGACCTCGTGCTGCCGTTGCTTAACCTGAATTAGCCAGTGTTTCTGGACCTTTCTGAAAGCCAATTAAAAGAGCAGACCACTAACCTAGACAAAATGAGTACTTCTCTGCTGTTTTATTGAGTTAAATTGTCTGAAGTTAGGGTTTATAAGATGGAGCACACGCAACAGAGGGTGCCAGACCCATGAGGCCAGGGGTCAGGGAGGGAAGAGCAGCAGTTACAGAGTGGGGGGTGGCAGCAGGTTGTGAGGTCAGCTCAGCTGTATCTGAAACCCTGAACCTCAATTGATGTCATCTTCAGTTAGGGTAAGATCCTTTTAATTTGTGAGAAAATAACAGGCTGTTACAGTCACCGAAGTCAATAATTAGAGTTTCTGTATGTTTTAATAGAGGGAAGGACTTGGGCTCTCTGACTGAAGAAGCTAGCTTTTTCAGACAGTGTGGCACTCAGTAAAACCTGACACTGTGCTCATAAATGCTTTCAGTTACTTGTGTCTAAAATTAGCTCTCTCTATCATACTTAGAAATGTCTTGGATTGCAGAGGTTTTTATACACTTAGCTCTTATGTATTGCTGTAAATAAACCTGGAGAACTTAGTTCTGAATCTGCTTCTGATTCTGTCACTGTAGCCGATGTTTGTGTATGTCTGAGAGCAATATGAACAAAGGATTAGCATGTGCAGCTCAATGCCTCTGTTGCACAGTCTGCTCATGATGATGTTACCTCCCTGTTCTGGCATGGTTTGGCAGCAACAGAAGATTATAATCTAATGATCGATGCTGGTTGTGGTTTTACTTGCAGTGCAAAAGTGGGTACAAATGCCAAAGGAGAAACAGACCTGAAAAATAAAGATGCTTTTCTTTCCCCCTGATAACCTGTTTCTTAACATGTTCATTTTAAGAGAGTGTGAGGAAAGCTTTTGTTCGACTACTTAGATTGTATTTCCCCTTGAATCTCTCACTCCAGTCTCTTTTATGTCTCTGTTCCCACTGAGACATAATCAAAATCAAAAAACCCGATTTCACTTACAGTTGGGGATGACTTCATTGAGCTTACTTATAAATACTGCACATGATCCCTTAATGGTGCACGGAGTACGATAAATATCTGACAACTAATTGCTGCTAAGAACAAAAGTAATCCAAAGTGGCTTTAAAAATCTCACTTAAGAGTGCCATTATTTTTGAGTAGCTATTGACATACTGTTTGCTGTCTGAGATTCCTCCTCAGAGATTTGTGCTATGGGAGGAACATTTATTTCTTGGGAATGAAGTAGACGTGATAGCTGTGTCATGTACCACTTCAAAGTTATTAATTCTTCATGAGAAACTAGCTAGGATTTATGACAAAGTGTCTGCTGCTATGCCTACTGATTTTAATCTCCGGAAAGTACTGATGACTGCTGCCCTTCCCTGTAAATGAAGTTCTGACTATACCCTGTGGAATAAGAAACAAAAAGCGGTGCACTAAACGTCCAATTGTCCCGTAGATTTATTTGACAATACAGTAGATGTAGTTGAATTAGCACTTATAAGTATTGCTATTGAAGTCAACAAGGGCTACTTCTCATCTTGAGAAGTATATGTGATTTGGGATCAGAGTATGTAATCTCTGTTGTTCATGTTTTGAACAAATTTCTAAATATTTTTCAGTGCCTCTGCTTTCTAATTTCCATTATCAAGTTTGCTACGTGTTGTTATAGTGACCTTACTTTTATCCTGAACCAACATAAATACTTCACAAATCAAATGGTATATAGGAACTGTAGTAGCTCTTTCTGTTAGAAGACTGTATTTGATAGCATGAAACAATTTCTTGTAGCAGCTGTGATGAAAGGAAACGAAGACTGTAATTTCTGTTTAAATAGCAGGAAAGATTCAGGCAGGCAAATGATAATTGGACAAAATGAGTTGAGTACATGACGTCCCATTTGTTTCTCATTAAGAGTTCTGTAGCAAAACTCTAGGATAAAAGTTTGAAAGTGATGTTCTTTGTCTTTAAATCTAAAAGGTTGCCAGCAGTATTTATTTGTTCTAGAGACTTCCTTTTCTATTCATTTCAGAGATCTCCAAGTCCCAGAATGATATGGCTGACAGAAGTCTGCTAACGACAGATTATGGACATAACGTGGAAAGAAGGAAGCAGAGGAGGAGCCAGTCTGACACTGCCATCAACATTACAAGCAGGGTATCCAAATTGTTATACACAAACTCTAGCTGCAAGAGCTGTTTCAGGAGTAGAATTCAAGAATCGTGACTTGCATGCTGGGAATTTACTTTTATTTATGAGCAGGGCTTCAGCTAATGTTCACTAACTGTGGCCAGAGCTCTGATTCCTCACGTGATTTTTTACTGAGTCTCCACACTTGGTCTCAGCCCGGATCTGAAATGTTAACTGTGATTTTACAAAGACCATTACATGGGGAGAGGATGGGCCGATTTTCTCTCGGGTGCTCACAGCCTGTGTTGGGGCTAATTGTCATCTGCTCTATGGGACTGTTAGACTGTGCAGAAGTTCTCTGTTTCGTGTCCAGGGTTGCCTCATCCCAGGTGGAGAATCTGGCATTTACCTTTATTAACATGCCAGAAAGTACTTTCATCTTTCAGAGAATTAATTGAATTTTTTTTCCCCCCTTTAGAGTATGCATGTTTCTCCTAGGAATGACCAGGAAATAATAGATGTAGCTGCCCTTTTGATTACGTAGGGTATAAGACTGGGGAACCACTTTGGTCTAAAGAGCAAGATCTGTTTCTCATGTAAGGTTTCCATATTTGTGGTATGGTCTCAGCTTGATTCCTTTAGATTAGTGTTGAAAGAGATTACAGTTAAATTCAATAATAGAAGAAAAAAATAATGCAATCTCAACCGCTGTCAGCAAGCCTGAAGACTGAATTTAGAAAATGCTATTCAATTAACTTCCTATGGCCTCCCATTATCAGCTCTTTAAGTCCGTCAAATAAATCTAAGTTCTTTTTAGAGATAGATAAATAGAATTAAGTTCTATTATACTTAACTCACAGAAAAAACAAGCAGGCTTTAGAAGCTGTTTGTGGTGTATTTGTACCTGTGGGTTACTGCTCCTGTGACAGTAGATGTGTGCTGCTGCAGAATTAGGGCTGGATGCGAGTCTTGCTTATGATCTGATGCTAAGCTTAGGCACTGGTATTTATTTTGCATTGTCAGTCATTTATTTTTCACTTAACAGAGAAGTCTTTACAATTCAAGCAGAAGCTAAAATGCAGCATGAAGCAGTTTGCTTTGGTTAGGGAGTGAAATTGGTGTTTCAGATTTTTAAAAACCAGGCGAAAATCTCACTGCTGAGAAATACTTTGTTTTCAGGTTTTCTTTTTGAGTCTATATCCTGGCTACATTTTCTGTCTTTTTCCTTCTTGCAAGGAAACTTAATGAATTCTTATATTCATCTGTAAGGTGCAGTAGTTATTACGCATAACAATTTCTGTGTGTTATAATAACGGCATACTGCTTTGGATTTTCTACATCCTGTTTCTTCAGAAGTAGTCTCAACATGTCAACTGTCTCTGGCTGTTCTCATCCTTTCGTGCTTTCTGCTGGTGGTGCAGGAGAGTTTCCTAGGCTTGTTAAATGTATACAGTCTTTTTTCATGCAGATAAATCCTTATCGTTTTGTTGATTCAGTCACATTATCGTCTTGCTAGTCTTTTGGATAATCCTTGTCATACAGTTGTTTTCTTAGCTTCTAACTCTAAAATTTCTCAGCTCAATCTCTTTTGAACCATGAGTGCCCTTTTCATAGGTTTTATTGTTCAGGGGTAATGCTGTGTCACAGTGAGCCGTATACACCAGTCTTCCTGCCCTTCATTCTATTAAGTCTATTATTATTTGGAACAGGGGTGGCTGAAAGTAAATCTCAAGGTGTTCTGCTACTACATTTTTTTATTTTCTACCAATTATCAGGGTTTTTGTGGGAAGAGTGAGAAAGTGAATGGTCTTAAAATCAAGAAAAACTCAGATCTTTTTTTTTTCTGTAATCAAAGCTAAATAAGAATTTGTCAGTCTGGTTCTATTTTCAGGTTTCTTTCAACCTACATTCATTCTTGCATAAATAGACATGGGCATGTGTCATGCATTTTACAAAATACTATTTTCATTTTCCTGGAGGCAAGATTATTTTTTTTTTTCTTCCAAAATTACTGTTTTGTTAAAGTTTAGTAGGGCCTTTTATTGATGTATTACTACTTCTGGTATGTTATTTGCAGACTGTGATTAGCAATTACTGTGGTAGTGAACCACAGCTTAGCTGGTGGCGTGTTGATTTTAAAGAATGATGGATGTAATGAATGTACTGCTAGCTGAAATGGGCATGTTGTAAGTCAACATTTAAATGAAGTTGCTACATTTATCTTGGAAGTGTGCCATCTGTGTGACATTGATCAATGCGAGTTGTAGATATTTACTTAATTTTTGTGTGATACCATTCTGAAGGAACTGAGGCTTTTCTCTTTATTAAAAACAAAAAACAAAACAAAAAAACAAGTAAAACCCAAAATAAATTGTTGAATCTTTTACAGAAGAAAAGTACACCCAGTCTTCAAGATCTCTTCTATGGGGCTCAAAATGATAATGAAATTCTTACCAAAAGGAATTGCAAGCAAGAGGACGACATAACAACCAGTCCCACAAGTGATGCTGTTTTCTGTGATGGTAGGAGACATGTAAGTTTAAGCGTGAAGCACAACAGAACAGTTACTGCATGGAGATCAATGTAAAAGCTAAGATATTGATTTGTATTACAGAATGTATGAATTTTACTTGAGTTTCTTTCTGATAAAATGCTTTTGGCAAGGTCATTGTAGAAACACTGAACTATTCACAGCACAAGCCCAATAAAATTAATAACAGATAATTGGTAGATAGGTATGGCCATTAATAATGAATGACTAATATATCAGGTTCCTCTGAGTCTTGCAAATTCAGCTAACATTCTTTCCATTTTGTGTTAGTGTTGAGATCCTGAACGTGATTCTTTCTAGACTAGTAGCCAGCTTCTTTTTCTTATTACTTCATTTAACAGAAGGCTTTTGTTATTCTGCAAGAGGTGTGGTAGTGCAAATGCCAGTGGAAATTCAAATGTCAGAACTTTGGTGAATGAAGAGAAAGCTGGCAGTTAAGGAAGTCAGGGGAACAGCTGATAGGCTTAGAGGATGTTACTGAAACTTCTCTGGTGGATGGCATTTTGAATACTGAAAATTACAGAGAAGGAAGCTAGTTGTAAATGAATTCAGTCCATCCTTTAAAGTCTCTGTGATTAACCTTGGCTGCTAATTTCTATGTATTAGTGTTGAGGTTAATCAGGGTGAAGTGTCCAAAGAATCCGTGACTGATCTTGTAAAAAAGAGAACTAAAATGGCTTTTGAGGAATCAAAATGAAACCAGCCTGCTCACTTCACAGGGGATAAAAAAAACAAGGATTTGGACTCTCTCTTCCTATTTACCGAGCTGGGGAGGCTGAGGTGTTGCACTGGCAAATGAACAGCGCTTTTGGGGGGCACTTGTGATTCTGCTGGCAGTCGTTTGAACTAGGCTATAGACAACCACAACCCAGTTTTAATAGTAAAGTTCCTCTTATGAGTAAATGTTTGTTGTTAATGACTGCTCCATGAAAGTATGTCTTCCAAAACACAGTATGATATTATTTCCAGTCATGCCAGCAGGAGTGTAGTGCATAGCTCATTGCTAAATCCTAGTTTACAAAGCAAAAGTATGAGTGATATCTACACTGATTGAATATGTATAAAACATGATTTCTGATCAGGTGGGAGATGAATGTAATGGCGTTCAATCCAAATATCATTCATCAGAATAGCTGTCCAGGTTTTAAGAATATGAGGGCCTGTGGAATAAATTTTGGGTCATGTGTGCAGAACTTCTAATAAGATACGTAAGATGGAAATGCACTTTTTTTTTTTTTTTTTTTTAGTGAAAGATTTTTGTGGAAAATAAATATTTTGATCAGAAGAATAAAGCTATTCTATGTCAGGATATAAAAGAGCTGCAAGGGAGATTGCACTGATACACATCTTGTGGTGAGAGCAAGATTACGTGCAACTTGCATCAGGTCACAACAGCCTAACACTTGTGACTTCCTTAATAAGCACTCTGATCCTTGTTCCATCAGGTTTGAGCTTATAAGATTGAATTGAGAGCTTCTTTAAGTAAGCTGTTGCCATGAATATTAAAATGACCAGTTAGCACATCTGCAGCATTGAAGAGAACATTTTGGCAGGAGCGTCTGCACAGAAGAAAGGTCTGATCTTGTAAATGCTGCTCTGCAGTCTTAGCTGCTGGGTTGTGCAATGCAGAACTCCTTGGTTAACCGACCCTGTGTGGGTTGGTGTTGTTTTTCAGAGGGAGGAGTGGTCTAATGCAGATATTTTAGCAATCTAGGACGATGTTACCATGAGATAAATCCCAACGACAAGCTTGTCCTCATGACATATGATATGTAAAAAGATGCTAGAGTGTATTTTGAAGAGCACCATTATAGATGAATGGAGACCAAATTATTCTGACTCAGTTGACAGTTTGTTACAGTGAAGACTGAATAGTTCTAATGAGTTATGTGGGCCACAGAAAAGGCTGTAGTCTTCCTGTTTATTTCAGTGTCATGGCCTCTGTAAATGCTAGAAACAAATACTGTTTATATCTATCTGGAAGGAGAGCATCCAAACCTTTGCCCTGTAGGAGCATGTAGATGAAAGGAGAACAAAGTGGCTGAGGTGAGCCAGAAAACACCTTCCTAATGTGCTAACCCGCATCCAGACAGCTGGATGTCTTTGTGCATTAATATTTCCTGAGCAATCTGCTGCAGTCTGTCATTTCTATATGGAACTGAGTGATCTTCTGGAGTGTTTACTGGTTGTGCATTGATGCTTTTGTTTCTTTAATATCCAATAGAACCTAGCATCTCAGGTTCTATTGTATTGATGCTGTAAGCATCAATAGCAGTCTAGTTCTGTAATTTGTGCGTTTGTAAATTTTGGGATTTTTCTGTAAGTGTGGACACAGCTCTCTTTCTTTCAGGTATTTAGCCCATTTTATGATGGGAAACCACATAGCAATTTTATTGGGAGACAATTTCTAGATCTAGAAATCTAAGAAAGTACTTTCTTAACTGTGAGTTAATGGAATTAGAATAGTGAGTAGTAGAGTAGTGAGTTTAATAGAACATTAGAATTGGGATTAGTTATAATTAGGGCTCCTATGGAAGCAACGGAATGGTTTTTATGCATGTTATCTGAAATCTTCATGATTTCCAATAGCTGTGTAGCAGTCAAGGTAGTACTGACATTTGAGAGAAATAAATGTATTATTCTAGATCTGAAGCTACTTTTCTGACATTTTGTCTATTCTCAGGGGAGTTTGTATAGTCTTAACAGCACTTGCACTGAATCCGGCAACTTTGGCAAAGCGAACGTCACAGGAGAAATAGAGTTTGCCATAAGATACATCTTCAAGGCTTGCATCTTAGAAATTTGCATCAGAGGATGCAAGAATCTGGCTTATGGAGAGGAGAGAAAGAAAAAATGTAACCCGTAAGTATTTTATAGAGAAGGAGAAAAAAACAGAATATTTTGCTTATTGTTTCAAGGGTACTTACATACGCTGTAATTGAAATGGATTCATATATGATGGCATGCTGTAACAAGACTTTCAGAACATCCAGTGCATATCTGCACTTTTTACCTCTCTGCACTGCAAAGCACACGTTTCACATTAGCTCTACTTGTTCTCACACATTTCTGCTATTAACTGTCTCTTTGCCTGCCTGCAAGCAGGCAGTTGGTTATCTGTGTTGCTGATGAGCACCTTTGGATCTTGAGAGTGGCAGTTTAGATTCTAGCTATTAACTTGTGCCTGCAAAATTAATACACAGACAGCTAAAATACGAGATGGAAAATTGAAAGGTGAACCATGTTACTAATTTATCTCTGACTCAGTGTGGGTTACTGCCAGACACACTGACTGCACGCACACTACTTCTGTGCTTCCGCCTTCCTCATCAATAAGAATGGAAATCTCAGATACTGCGGCACTTCTTAAAGCTTAAAGGTGCTTAATAATTATGTACTGCCACAAGAAGTAATATGCTTACTTCTGTGGGTAAAATGACTGGTTGGATGGCTAAGCCTTGGTGATTTGTTTGTTTGTTACTAAATGATCTCTGACCATGCAGTAATCATTTGTGGAAAATCACCATGCAGAATGCCTAACTACACATTCTTGTCCCTGCTGTCACATGATTGCAGTCACCTTCACTCAGAAGGAATGTGGCTTTGCATATCTTGTGGAGGAAGCTCATAAAGATGAGCTTGGTGAGGAAAAGAACATTGCTGAAAAAACAGATCATGAAGCAGGATTGTGGGAGTGTTTCAGGAAAGGGTCAAAGTTCTCCAAGTTCCCTGGTGAGTTAGCAAGGAAAACAGTTGCACGAAGCCTGAAAAGTGATGTGGGAAGAGCTGTGCAGTGAACATCATGTTCTCTAATGGTACATATTCATGTATTCATATATTTATCTTGGTTTCCAAGCCAACACAGAAAGTACCGTCAGTGCACTTGACAGAAAAAGACAAAAACAACTGACAAACTCATAAGTTGTGTTTAAAACCTGTTGAATTGTTTAGCTGGTTGGCTAGTTTGAAGTCTGACTGTCTACTTCTTAATTAAATTGATCTGGGATGACGGAGTAAGGAGCTAAAAGTCCTTATACCTGTATATTTTAAAAAGTAGTTTTAACTATAGATAGGTTTGGAAAGAATAGGGAATACTTGTAAGTTCTGCACTGATTATATGAGGCTCTTATCTTAACTCTTTATTAATTAAGAGGTCATTTAAAAATTGGCCTAACTCATGTTATCTGAAATACGTACCGCAAACACCGGTTTAAAAATTTGCCTGCCAAATTGTGAGTCATCATTCTCTATTGCTAATACTGATCAATTTTGAAGCACATAAACATGGCTCCTTAATTGGACTCCTTAATATGGAGAATAATGCTTAAATCATAATTGTTAAATGACCTAAACATGGTTAAATGGTGTTGATGCTTGATGTTGGTTCAACTCAGCTTCCAGAAGACTTTTTAAACTGTCTTTTGTTGAATCAACACTAAGGTAATTTCAAACACTTTAGTTGCTCTTCTACTTATCACCCTCTGGTCACATTCTGTATGACTTCTCTATTCTCAAGGTATGTCAAGGTTTATTTACTTCCTGATAAATCTTCTCGGAGTAAGCGGAAGACAGCTGTCAAAAAGAACACAGTGGATCCAGAATTTGATGAGACCTTGAAGGTACTGTTTGCAGTTGTGTCCTGCTAAATGTGCTTTTCCATGCTAATGTCTCCTCCTATGAGGTACAGTCCTGTGAGTTCAGAAATGTCTTGGTGGGCCAATTTTAGAAGTCAGTGACAGCAGCCATTAAAAAATGATGGGTTTCTGTCTGCAAATGCTTTTGGAATTACGTTAATAAATGGTGAACTCTCAGTTAAATCTGCTTTTAAGTTTTTTCAGTGCATGAAAACACTGAACGAATGTGTTACCTTATGGCAAAAGCAAAGTGTCTTCTGTAGTGTCTTCTACACGCTTATTTGGCGTGTTCGGGAACTGAGGGCATTGCAGAGCACAATTAATTATATGCTGCTATCCCTTTCAGTTGATCCCCTTTTATGCACTGTCCTAGGGAGCGTCTCTCTGCAGTTAGCTGAATGCTGACTGAATTCCACTTTGCTAAAATGTTTTCTGCTCCCTCTTCCCTGTGAGGCTGTTACCAGACTCTTTGGACCGTCTCATTTCAAACATTAGTAATCCCATCAGAGAACAGTAGGTATGATTTGAATTCATTAGTGCCTTACGCTATTACTTCAGCAACCTTGTAACAACATTGAGTAGAACATAGAAGCCATTATTCTCATTTCACAGACACTTAATTGGATGTGAAGCTGAAGCCAAGTACTGTCAGCAGACAGAGCTGAGGTCGTTTGGTTGTTTCCTGTTCCAGTTTTGTGCAGAGATCACTGTAAACCCGTCTCTTTGTGTGCATCAGTGAGCTGCAGCAGCAAATAAAATGATGTGTTCTTCAGTAACACGTTGTAACAGGCAGGAAACAAAATTAATGGAGGGACAAGTTTATAATATTTCTCCTTGAACTACATGAAAATTTCAGTATGTCTGAATATCTGGGCTTAAGTTGGGAGAAAAAAGTACCTACCATTGAAATATTTGGTTCTTATTTCATAGTCCTTTTTCAATGCCTGAGTAATGCAGAGCTGATAGGCAATGAGAGCCATGTCCAAGCTGGCTGTGTAAATGTTCAGGTTAGTTAAATTAGAAATAATTTAAATTGATTTAAACATGTGGAAATGGATTGAACATAGTGCCAGTGCAGATAAACTACACTTGAAAGCTGAGATCCACCTCAGTGGTATCTCTGGCTGCAAATCCAGACACCTGCACTTAGCAGGCTGTGTTAGTGAAAAGCAAGGTGCTCTCAGGAGCCACTGGAGCGATTCAGGGCTGTTTGTCCCATAGCCTACAGGCAGCTTATGATTCAGCACCTCAGTGTTGGTAGCAATGCCTGTAGCCATGCCATCGACTCTGGCTTCCAGGTCACCTGTAGGTGGTATCGTGCTTAGCAATCCGTTGTGGGTATCTTAGGTACCTAATGACACCTCGAAGGGCTCTAACTGTGCTTAGGGAGTAGATCAAGGCTGTAATGACAGGTCTCCTGAACTACTTCCTTGCTCATACTGACTGCACTGAGTACGCCTCCGCTGACCAGAATGGAAGTTTTAGACCTTTGTTAGGTATCTCAATCTTGAACTGACCTCCAACTGTAGCAGTTAAATTGTACTGGGAGTGTAAAATAGAAAAAAAAATGAATGATTTAAAAAAACAAAACAAAACCTATAAAATAGTCAAGAATGATTTAAAGATGCAGATTAATAATTAGCAGTGCAGGCCAAGGTATTTTTGGAATGTAGTTTTTTTTCCATTTGCATGGGGCATTACTTTAGCATTTAAGGAGTGAGGTAACAGGTAAATTGCAAAGCACGTTCAGACAGCATAGTTCTGTCTGCATCCAGGTGCCTTCAGCCATGCTTTAGTTGGGCTGCCTGTGCACATCCTGTGAGCATTCATCCTGTTACAGCTTTTAAATGCTGTTTATCTTTCCAGTACAAGATCGAGCGCTCCCAGCTGGGAAGCCGGCAGCTTCAGATCTCTGTGTGGCATGCAGGAGCACTCAAGTACAGGGTGTTTTTGGGAGAAGTGGTGATTCCGTTGGCAGCGTGGAGTTTTGAAGACAGCTCAATGGGGTCATTCAACTGGTACCAGCTCCAGTCCAAGGTGATTGTTAATTTGTGCTTAGTTTTGTCTTAAGAAGTGGGTGTAATGATAGAGCGCTATGAAAGAGATCGTCCTTCTGAGGTCACTGGGGCAAGAATGTTGTCAATCCAGCCCTCAAGTAAGACCTGCTACATATATAAATGAGCTGTGAGAATGATGTGGAATAGAATGCAATTCTGATCTCTGTGTCTCTCATTCTTCAGCATGAAAAGCCTGAAGATAATCTTATTCAATACAGTGGAGAACTCCTGGTGTCTGCAAGATTGTCGGTACCAGCCCAGTATAAAAATTTCCAGTTTGGAAGGTGGATGATGGAAGGTATAAAACATTCCAGTGTGCATGAATCCCTTGGCTAGAAAAGAATTGAGACCGATGAAGAACTGACAGTTCTCATATGGAGTTTGTATGCAGTTTATAGTATGTTACATTTAAGTTTTTTTACAATCCAAACATTTGCCAGCTGCAACTTTTTGTTATTTTTAATGCCGGAAAAAAAGGAATCATTGTAATGGTTGCAGCATGGTGCATTGAGATGTCTGGCAAGCTTGTGCTTCTTGTGGTGTTGCTCTGAAGGAGATGCAGTAGTTTCACTGTCTGAGGTAGAGACTGCCGATTTAGGAAAAAGGTGCAAGGGAATGGCTCCAAAGGTACCAAACCAGCATCCTGGGCTTTCCTCCTATGGTCTCATTTTAGGAAGATTGTTTCACTTAGAAGATGTTAGGTTCAAAATGTGCAATCAAGATTCAGTTCTTGGTGATGGATGACTTGCACGGTATGTTAAACACTCAAGTAGTGGATCAGATCAAACATCTGCTGATGTAGTAACACAGACATTTTGAGGGCAGTGGATAGGTCAACCTCATTTCTTACCTCCCTGGTTCATGATGAGGTACGTAAGGGTCTAGAGGCCTCGTAAAGCTGTGTTCAGAAGCGTAGAACATGCAGGGACCAATAGAAAGACCTTACTTAGTTGTTAGATTAGTTCTACTGCCTTTTTTTCTGAATAACCCCTAAGCTACCAGCTGGCTTTCTTCTACTCTTCCCTCTGCATTTCCCTGTGTCCCTGCCCTGTAAACAGAGCTGTAACAGAGCAGTGATCATCTTATGCAGCAGTGAGTCCTTATCAAAATTGTAATTTTCCTTTTTAATTAGTGACATCTTATGATATCAAGTGAACTAACTGGTTACTTAATGTGGTCACCTTTCCTGTTTCAGGAAAAAAAGACCAAGAATTTTCCAACTGCCAGCTTCAGGTTATGATATTTGGGGCCAGGAACTTGCCTGTGCTGAGATCTGCTGGAACGCTGAACTCGTTCGTTAAAGGGTACGTGTGAGACTTAACACTTCAAATGGAAAATATTGCAAACATCCTGTGTAGAGGTAGGAATTAACTTGCTTTCAGCAGGAGGCTGTTGTATGGAAGTGGCACTGTCCACGCTTGGTCACACTTGTTCTTAGTGGTGCCAGTTCACACTTGAGCATCTACAGAACAGCGGCCCTCAGCAGGGCAGTGAGGTGTCCTGAGTGCAACATCAGAGTTTGCTGTTGTCATTAAAATTTAGAGTTCACTAAAGATTCCTTTAACAGTCACTGACAACAGAGGAAGAGCAGATGTGGAGACCCACACTGAGGGCGGGAAGAAAAAGCCAATCCAGAAAAGAAACTGAATATTATCATGTTCTACCTTGTACTTAAGCTATTTAAGGCAAATCGAAGGACCCTGATTAGAGTACTGCAAACATTCTGTTTTCTGATTGAGAAATACTGCTTAGATCAGTAAACTTGCTGAACTTGCATTTTATTTATTTTTTTGGGGGGTGGGGGGGAAAAGCTGTCTTCTCCTTTCAGACCAAGCAGAGTTAAAGCAAAAGTCACCTGTGGTGAAGAAAGAAGACTGTCCTCAGTGGAAACACTTGTTTGTCTTTGATGTTACCCCAGCTCAGCTACAGCAGTCATGTCTACACTTGACTGTCTGGGACCAGTCAACTTTTGGCTCACGTGATCAGTTCCTAGGGGGAGTCAAGCTGGGTGCAAGTAAGTTCTTTACTGATAAATGCTGATGCTGATTTGAGTGGAAAAAAATGTTTATTTTACCTTCTAAACCATATTTGCACTGTGCTGTTAGCATGTGCCTGACATACAGCCCCCAGTCTGTGACCTAAGCAACTCGCATCTCAGGCTTTGATCCTGCTGGAAGCAGTGTGTATGTTTTAGTTCAGTCTGTGCAGAAGCTCCAGGTCATCAATGGGAACTGACAGGCAAAGCTATTTGTTAGCATGGGAATGTTCTGGGTCAGTGTTTGGCCCCGCAGAAGGCAAATAGAGTAGGGAATGAAAGATACATACAGAGCTCTAGCTGTGGGTGATTCAAGACTTGTTCTTGAGCGATTTTCTCTATAAATTGCCTGTTTTAAAAATGCTATAAACTGCATCAAAACTGAGCTCAAGAAGTAACGGTCTATTAGATTTCAAGCTTGCAGATATTTGTGTTTATTTTACATTCACATGATTTTCTGATAGAAGGTACAGAAAGTGAAGGTTGCTCAAAAGTCTTAAAGGAACTATTGCATGTCCGAGCTCTGGTCTAACGTAAAGAGAGAACCTTCTGAAGGCTGAGAAATGTACAGGAAATCCTTTGCTCAGTGACCAGGCCCTACTTAAACTAATCGTTGAACAGAGAAGTATTGACATTTGATTGCCCAGTGGGGTTTCTCATGTCTGCTTTTCCTGACAGCTGACAGTAAATGCTCTGGTTTTCGTATTTGAGATGAAAGGCTTAAGCTGGAGATTCAAGTCACTTCATAGAATCATAGAATGGCCAAGGTTGGAAGGGACCTCAAGCATCATGAATCTCCCCCCTCCTCCACCCCCCCTGCCACATGCAGGGCCACCAACCTCCCCATTCAATACTGGACCAGGCTGCCCAGGACCCCATCCGGCCTGGCTTGAACACCTCCAGGGATGGGGCATCCACAGCCTCTCTGGGCAGCCTGTTCCAGCACCTCATCACTCTCTCTGTAGCCTTGCTACACTACTTCGTTTGCCTTTCTGTTAGAGCTTATTAGTGACGGCGATTATCCATGTCCTAGCCTAGTAACGCATTACAGTCACTGAAGATGAAGTGGCACCAACCTATTCTACCACTTTTGAATTGTGCGTTTGCTCCTTCTGGCTAAGTTCTTTGCTGCAGACTGAGTTCTTCACTGAGTGATCCAAGTCTAACAGCATATAAATGATGCTTCAGGAGTGTAGCTACAGTTTATTGCAAATAAGACACAAAGAACTCCAGAACTGCTGAAATTGCCTAAGAACTGGGAGAATGCGCTTGTGCAGTCATTTGGGCCTGACTCTAATAAAATCTTTGGGTAAGGTGAAGTGAAAAGCAGCCCCGTGACCTTTCATTTTGCTTTCTTGCAGAGCAATTGCTTGGTTTTGCAGACCCCATTTCTCCGTCAGTGCTTCAATGGGAAGAAGTGTTGCGCAGGCCAAACACGTGGATGGACTTTACACTGATACTGCATTCAAATATGGAAAACTTTAAATCATGAAGATAATGGCCTGCCTTCCCTTCTCAGTGGGTGATATTCAGGGTTGGAGTGGTGCATATACATTCTAAGCATGGTGAAAGGGTACACAACAGTACCTACTTCTGTGTTGGGGGAATTGAGTTGTAAGTTTGAACGGTTGTGATACTGAAGGTTTTATTTCTCAAAAATCTAAAGCTTTGTTATCTTATACTTTACCTGGAGATAAAGGTTAATATTGTTTCTCAAGAGTAACAAACTGAAAGGCATTATGCTGACAAGGCACTAGTAGACAGATGGTATGCAGCTTTCTCTTTCTGGACACAGAGCTACAGTTGTTCAAACATAGATAAGGAATATTGCATAGAGATAAATGATCATTTTCTTATTAAAAAAAAGTTACTTCACTCCAGTTTTCATGCTTTGTCACCAAAGGCAAGTAAAAACTACCTCCTCTCTTATTGCAAAATTATAACAAGCAGTACTTCAGAACTATCTCCAGTGCCCATACTAATGATCTGAAAACAATTTGGCCTGCATGCCTCACAGCTTTCCAACGTGTGCTGTGCTAACTGGTTAGTTATAAATTCTCCTTTGGTGGGAGGAGTGCTGCACATCAGCTAATAGAATAAATGCTGATAGAGAAAGTTCCTTGTTTTTACCAGCAGCTGCTGTCAACTGGTGTTAACAAGTCAGACGGATCCATATGGTGTATGGCACAGCTCAGCTTATCACTTATTCATGTGAACTGGTGGAAATGCACGTTGCCTGTTCCCTTTGCCTCCAGCAAAGCAGCGTTACAGTCAGAAACCTCATCTATACAGCTTTACCTGGTGCTGCTGTTACTTACCTCTCCCTTGGGGCTGAGGTGAAGATGGTCACCATTTGTCAGTACAGCAAGTATTATCCCTTCGTGCCAGCTCAGCGGTGTTTAAGGATGTAACAAAGAAGGGAAGCATGCACTAGCCTTGGAAGATAGAAGTCAGCACCCTTTGTCACTAAAATGCACTCATGAAACACTCAACTCAAAATCCTTTGTTACTTTGCAGATCTTTTATTTAGATGTTTGCTGCTGCAAATAAAAAAAAAAACAACACCACACAAGAAGATTCAACTCGAGTATAAAGCAGCACAGATGTTGTAAATGGAAGAGAAGAGCTGACACCATGCTGTATCTCACTTTCTAACAGATTTTCAAGGAAAAGGGGGAGATCAGTGGGGAAGGAATGGTCACAGAAATGCTCTCTAATAGAGAGATACACCTGTGATATAAACAAGCAGTCCCTTCATGTTTGGAGTCTGAAACTTTAAATCAAACATTTAAAAAATTAGAAAATTTGTTAGAAAAATAGGTGCAGTAAAATTGTATATATTGGATCCATGTGTACATATCAATTTTCATTAAGTAAAAAAATGATCTTTACAAATAATGCTTTATAGTAAATAATCAGTTATACTGCAGACTACAGTGTTCAGGCGTCTTTACAGATGCGAGTCATTAAATCTGAAAAGTAACAAAATATACAGAGCAAAACTATTTCCCTTTTAAACTAGTACTTCAATCCACATACTGCATATTTTTATATATATATAAATACTACACTATAACTGATCAGTTATGAAACTGGAATGCAAACACAGTAGTGTATTATTCCAACAGAATGTTTGCCTAGTTGTTACATGAGGAGGGTGCTCTGTTCTGTGCCACACTTCAGAGCTGCTGCAGCACTTCTCCAGTTAAGCACAGCAAGCAGGAAAAGCCCTATTTCAATGCAGTACAGTTCTGAGGTGCTGTCAGTTCTCTTTTGCTTGTGTGTCAGGTGGACATAAAGACAAAGAAAACAGAGTGCGTGTGCATGCATCAGTGCACACACAGCTGTTTGCAATTCCTGACTTGTGACCTCTCACCTGTTGGACATTAACACAAAGACATATGGCACAAAATTCACCCCCAGTTGCTAATTTTTAGACCAAGGTGAATCCAGCACCTGCACAGGACATGTCTCTACAACTAGATGTGGATCTGTGTTGGTTAAAGAGAGATGTGACATAAGGCCTTTTGGCACGAAGCAAAGGCATGAGCAAGTTACCAGGATCAGAGGTAAGATCGATTTTTAACTATACCAAATTTAATACATGGTATGGAAGAAAAGGGAGATGCAAACACCTCTGGGTTTAGAGAACATTTGTTAAATACCATACAGTGCCCCTCCTCAGGGTAAAAACAAAACCAAAACCACAGCATTAAGATCTGCCTTTCCCACAGTCTTGCCTTCTTGTTGTAAGCACTCATTACATTGCCTCAAACTCATCAATTCTCTGCTTGGTGTTGCCTTGTCGGATCTGCCGCAGCGTCTTGTACTTGTCACGGCCCTGTCGCACGTTCTCCGAGTGGATGATATCATTTTGGGTCCTCTTATCTTCATCTCTAGCCTGCGCCAGTTCATCTGTCAGTGCCTGCAGTGGAGAGAACATTAAATACAAATTAGACACAAGGCGCTTTCAACTTCCAACAGCAGTGGCTTTGGTGAGACTTTTGACAGTTCTTAGATGACCAGACAAGTCAGCAGTGTGGATTCAACATACGGTTCCCATAAACAGTATGGATGATGCAACTTTCTGATGACTCAAAGCCTGAACAACAAGAACAACCTTTTTGTACACTGCTTTTAATTCAACCTGCCCTATAGGACCTGTAAGCAAAGAAAAAAAATCACTCTGTGTGTGTTTAACCAAGCGGTTAAATTACCTATTTTCCATGAACAGAATCTCTTGTTAATTCTCCTCCTCCAAACACTCTCTCTTACCTTCAGCTGCCTCTGCACACGCTCATTCTTCTCTGCTTCAGTAATGCGCTTCTCCTCATTGCGGTCATTCCTGATCCCCTCACTGGAGAACTCTGCACTGTAGGCAGAGTACTCAGACCCCTCATCATGCAGGTTATCATGCACGTGGTAGTTCACTGGCTCGTAGATGGGTGGAGGTGGAGGTGGAGCAGTCATTACCAAGTGCAGCTCCTCCTTTGTCTTCACCAGATCCTCCTGGGCTTCCCTAGCCTTTGGGGAAAACAAACAAAAGCGAAAAGCTCATGAGGTTCACACAGGTCTTCCTCTTGAGCCTGTCAAGGTCCCTCCACATGGCATCCCTTCTTTCTAGCGTGTCACCAATGGGTGCGGTGAGGCTGACATCAGCAATCTTGCTGAGCAGGCACTTGATCCCGCTGTCCATGTCACCAAAGCTAACAGACAGCATCTGCCCTAACGCCACGAGAAATGCCACTTGTCACTGGTCTGCATTTGGACACCAAGCTGTTGACTGCAACTCTTTGAGTGTGGTCATCCCCACAATTCCTCAGCCACTGCATGCTTCCTCTGTCAAATCCACATCTCTCCTGTTCAGAGACAAGGATGTCATGTGGAACTGTGTTCAACACCTTCTACTTTAAATTTTGACTAAAGCACCACAGTACACGCTGCTCAAGCACAGAACTTCAGAGCAACTTTGACAGAATACTCACTCTGATCTGCCATTCTTCAACCTCGTTCTCCTTACGCTTCCTTGCCTCTTCAAGAAGTGCAATCTTGGCTGTATACTCTGCGAGCTCTGCAGCCTGTTAAATAGTAACACCAGAATTAAGGACTCAAAAAATAAAAAACAACCCCACAACAAATAACAATTTCGACTGAGAAAAGACCCACGTGTTACACTCCCCTCTAGTAAAAACTGAACAGGAAATTAAGAACAAAGTATAGATTGCTTGTTTTTTTTTTCCCCTTTTGACTTCAAGGCCTTATTTAAGTAAGTGGCATAGCATATCTTAACCAAAAGTGATCTGGTCTTACCAGCTGTTCCTGGCTCTTTATCTGGTCAATATTTTGTCTCTCCAGCTCTTCCTTGGCTTGCAAAGCAGCCAGACGATCAGCTTCCAAACGTTCTGCTTCCTCCTGAGCTCGTCTCCTTTCTTCCTCCAGCTGAAGAGCTCTTTGGATCTGATCTGAGAGCTCTGGGAAAAAACAGATCAACACTGTAAGTCCACCAAAAGACAAGCAAAGCAAAGACAAGCTCATAGGTTAACTGCAGAAGTCATGACATGCACGACTCCTGCCTGCAATATTTCTTCACTGCACTTACAAGTAGGTATTGCACAAAATATGGCAAGTACCCAAATTCAGAAGCTGTCGGTTGCACATTATAATTAGATCATCTACAAGGTATTTGCACTGCCGTGATCCTGCTGCCCTTAGTTGACAATTTACTGTGAGGACCAGACGATGCTGTCTCCAAGCTGCTCATCTGTGCATTGAAACAGAAGCTTCCACTTTACTGGAAGGACTTGCTACCAAACCATTCCTTCTGTTCAGAGTTAAGTAAAAAGCATGTGCCAGCCGAGCTCTGGTTCTCACTGCTGCAAAAGGCTCATGCTAAAACCCCCTCAGCAACAGGGAAAAAACAGAGTTAGTGTGACCTTCAACTCCCACTGATAGCAGCAGATGTCGTGACTTATGCCTTGGATGTCGTCAGCAGTGCATGCATGTGTATTTATCCACATAAGCAGATATCAGTATGCCTTGCCAAGAGATCCTGGTGTCACTAGACTTAGCTAAGTGTGAAGCACAATACACACGATCTGGTTAAACAATGCGAACACTTTACCTTTTTCTGCTCTCTTGGTCTTCACTTCATACTCTTGTAGCCTCACCAGCAGTTCTTCCTTTTCCCTCAACATTTGCTCCTTCTCCCTCTCAATTGTCTCCCTCTTCTTCTTTTCATTTTCTAGTTGCTGCCTGTTTAGGAACAGATTTCATGCTTCAAGCTCACTTTCAGACATAAACCACAGCAAGGCAAGAAAACTGGATGGTCATCTCTCCAGACAGTTAAATAGGACAAGGTTGTGTGACTGCCACAAATAGGAGCCAGAAGACAGAAATGCACTGAGAAATTCATCCTTAATCACTTCAGTTTTTGCCCAGTTTTGGATACTCATATTTCATAAAAGTACTTCTATTTTTTGTAGGCTACCCCAGAACTTTAGAGAACCAAATAAACAGTAGATGCAGAGAGAGAAAATCATGGCTCTGTGCTGCATGGCAGAGGAGATGTATTTTATTACTTCTGTCATAAGGAAAAATCAAATGAGCACTGAGGAATGCAGATAAAAAAGCCAGCAATACAGGAGAAATCAGAATGATTTCTCGAA